TTACAATGTCGACAGAGGGTTATTAATGGAACAGTTATTATAAGAGTGGGTTTATCGCAAAAAAATTGGTCATACATTGTCTTCAAACAGCACTTTAAACAGCACTATGGTAAAACAGCACTATTATCTTTAAACAGCACCATGGTAAAAATGGAACACTATGGCAACAGTTTTCATCCCTTTGTGTGACATTTTTCTCTTCCGTTTGGTCTAAAACACTGTGTTCGTGGTCATCCAGTTTGAAATGTTATCTACAAACAAAGATATTTCAGATTTTCTGTCACGGCATTCTCTCCGTATTTTGGATTCTTTACAACCTTACTGCCTAGAAAGCACTGGATCCATCACTGGAAACCAAAAGTAACTCTAAATGTTTACTCTTTAAATTCTTGTTCATGGGAACAGTACAATTCAATAACATTATGACTGAAATGTTTGCTATAAAGCATGTTCTACTCAAGCAAGTTAGTATTTGACTCTAGTCCCATGGCACAATGTGACGTTAGAGTGACGTCTTTTCTATGTAATTTTTGGATGTCCAATTTCAGTCCACTGAAGGGGTTGTTTTGTAACGCCAGGCGACGTCTTTTGCACGTCAAATATTGACGTCGGTGGGACCAAATGTGGTCGTTTGTGGACGTCTTTTCAACATCAAATTTAGTATCTTCTATAACTTCTATAACTGTAGTCCCTTCAAAAAGGTAGAGAACATTTTTAAAGGATGTTATCTATACCATGTATTTATATTTATGCATTTGACACATGCTTTTATCCACAGTGACTTACATTGCACTTTTACATTCCTGCTTTCCCTGGGAATCAAATTGAATTGATCTAAGCATTGCACTAGGTGGCTGTTACACAAGTGCCAACGCTCTACTGTTTGAGCTACAGCATTACACCTTTGTATGTGTCAATTACCACCTTCTGGTTGAGACAATCAAATGCAGTTTTTGGAAAACTATCTTAAATAATTAAAAATAATCTGTATTCATATGTATTAATCATGTTGATAACAACAATGTTGATATTTGTAAATAAAAAAAACATTGCATAATAATCATGTAAATTTCCTGCACCTGTAATAGACGTGCAAATGAGGTCCAAAAAATTACCCAGTTCAACGGTCAAATGTTGAACGTCAACATGATGTCCAAATTGGGTCATGGTTGGACGTCCAAATAGTGGACCTAGTTTGGACGTCGAATAGATGTCCAGAATTGGTCATGGACCAACGGACCCAATATAGACATGACCTGCACGTCTATCCGACGTCCAGTGTTTAGTGGGGTAAGCATAACACCATAGCAGATTGGTGGGAGTGGCCTTGGACGGCAACATTATGGGTCCTACCTAAAGAGGAAGAGAGCAGGCTTTTTTTCTGGTCACGTAGCAGAGATTTAAAAATTGCCTTTCTATGGTACAGTATAAGCAGACTAGTTTTATTGAAAACCCTTTTTGGCAGCAGTGAAGTACCCCTGAAACTGCCACATTATGCAGTCAGTGCATCGATTTATTGCAATTATGTGACTCAAAAGATTAAGATACCACTACCTCTCTCATGAGTTGGCCGAGAAATGTTACACTCACAGAAAAAAAGGAACGAAAGCTGTCACTGGGGCGGTACCTTTTCAAAAGGTACACTTTTGTACCTAAAGGGTGCACATTGGTACTTTCATGGTACAATATGCACCCTTTTGGTACAAAAGTGTACCTTTTTGAAAAGGCGCCGCCCCAGTGACAGCTTTCGTACCTTTTTTTCTGACAGTGTAGGGAGGATGTCACCATTTTAGTGATTTTGAGTGAGAAATGGTGTGTGTGTGTGTGCGTGTGAATTTTGGCTTGTTTCTGGCACAAAAATATAGTATGGAAAACAGAAAACTTTGTATATAGCATAAGAGTTATATGGACTTATATACAAACTTATTATGGCACTTTTGCATCCTTTTTTACGTTTGAAAGTCTCTATTCTTTGTAAATGGATGGAAAAGAGCATAGAAAACAGCCTTCAGTTTTTCCTTTGTGCTCTGCAGAAGAAATAAAGTAATGTTGGTATGAAATGACAAAAAAAAGCTAGTAAAAGATGAAAGAAATTTCATTTTTCCCTTTCATACAGCATCTGTATTTCTGTATTTCAAATAAAGCATCTGTATTTCTATCTGAACTGACTCTTAAAATATTGTTGTTGGTGTAATCCAATGTAGTTGGGGTGATTTACACCTATTAAATAATATTTCTGCCTTGAGTAAAACTACTTAATCGAGATGTTACCACAAAACCATCTTCACAGTGCAGGTTTTATGAGAAATGTCAAGTTCTATAATACAGCCCTATTTCCCCCCCAAAAGCCTGTAAAACGTGGGTGGCATTCCTCAAATCTCCCCTATATAGACTCTCTGACAGGGTTTTAATGCCACCAGTAAAACTTTTCAAAGTCGCAGTGCTTCCAGGAGTCGAGACATGTGGGGGTCGGGGGTCTTCCGCTCAGCTGGAGAGGCAGCCACACAAAGGTGGCACAAGCCACTATCAGTCCCTTTGAGATGATAATCTGCGAGATCGCTCTTGCAGCGACAAACGGGGCAACGGAGACTGCCATCTTTACATTACTGAGAAAAGGCCAATGCCGACTGACAGCTACAAATGAGCCCTGCTCCTGAGCCTAGACACAATCACAGCCATCTAAACCCACACTGACGTTTTAATCCTCCCGAAATAACCTACTCTGAAATTCTCCCACAGAGGCAATGAGAAATAGTGTGCATGTGTGTGTGTGTGTGTGTGTGTGCGTGGGTGTGTGTGTGTGTGTGTGTGTGTGTAAAAATCAAGAAATTGGAAGAGAAGAGCAGACATTGAGAGGAATGCTTGTGTGAATATCCTGTATGAGTGCAACTGTGATTCTAGATCAGTGGTTCTCAACTGGTTTTGCATCATAATCCAGACTTTACAATGAACATGGGGATGAATGATATGACCAAAAGTTTATATTGTTATGTGTCATTTCATTTCACAACAACAATATAGGCCTACATCACATAATAGGTAACTTTTCTGGAAATACATTTGTTACAATATCAACATTTTGGATAGCAGTGAAAGATTTCAATACTGCAGCAAAAACTAATTCCAATAATGGGGATTTAGGTTTTATAGGTATATCTTATAGTAGTATTCAAATAAGAAATACTACTAAACGAAGTAAACAAGTTTATAAAAAAATACAAAAACATAAAATACAATTGAAATGTTTACATTTTTATTAAAGTTACAAAAGTTATTCATCAAGAGCCGTGAATGTATAGCGGAAGTTATGATAGTCTTTTCTTCCCTATTTTAACATATATCCAAATGAAACTGCTTCTCAAACAAGACAAAATCTAGAGTGCGATAATGCAGCGATCTCATGCGAGTGACAGGTTTACCCACCCTCGCAACGTAAAACTCATCATCAGAGATGTCATTGAGACAGGGAGGGGAATTGATTTTGATTTTAAAAATACCATGAATTAAAATATGCATACATGTGCACTGATAAGTCATTTGCAATTAATACTGCATACTGGTGACTGTATGGTGACTTGACTGTTTTCTTTGCATGATTGTATTTATGGGGTGCAATATAACATGTGTTCGTGGTTTTTCTTTTTTTTAAAGTCTCATTTTTTATAAACTTCCCCTTTATCCTCTGTCCTTGAACGACTGGTTGACTTCCTGATTCTATGAAACCACTCCCTCAGAAACAGGCAGTGCGCTCAGATTGGTTAGTTTGGCCCGGTGTGTTGTGATTGGCTAAACTGTCGCTCACGTTGTCCGGAAGATTAACGCCCATTACCTTTACGGGAGAAACATGCATGTCATGAGCTGAGCTTGTATTTTATTATTTGTATTTAGTATTTTCCCTGTTGTCTCATGATCAGAACAGACCTGGGACCACCTGTTGGGAATCACTGTTCCTGTAAATGTGCATTCTCCCATAGAGTGATCTATCGTCTGCAAGGGCACAGAGTGAATGCTGGATGATACCCTTTAGCTGATGATTGGAGATATGTCTTAAAGAGATGACAGCTCTCACTTCATCTAAGGGCTGAGAGAGAGAGAGAGAGAGAGAGAGAGAGAGAGAGAGAGAGAGAGAGAGAGAGAGAGAGAGAGAGAGAGAGAGAGCTTGTATCACCAGTGTCCTGTTAAGAAAGCCTGTCAGAAGTAAAAGCAGCATAATACTGCCGTAGCTGAGTGACACAGTGACATAGAATTCCAGAGAGTGAAGAAACTGTGCGCATGTTTGTGTGAGCAGGCAAGGAGAGAGAGAAACAAAGAGAGTTTTGCACCATGCACAAGAGGATAGAAAAAATGCCACAGACGTGCTTGGTATTCAGTCTTCATAATCAGTGTCTGTGCATCCAGTGACACGGATGAGGAATTGCTCCTTTCTTTTGCGAGTCTCTCGATGCTGTCAGAAATTATCACAAATAATTGTACACACAGGAAATTAAGAAATATGACAAAAATGACAAATGTATGCATATTATGAGGAGGAATAGATATCCAAGAGTGTCGAGGGAGGACTTAAGCAAACTCTGTGTGATTTACTAGGGCATTTAGTACACACAGGAACATTTTGCCTGCATGGAACACAAAAAGGGAAGTGAGGAATATGAATGTTTGGGGTATTTAACGTTACGGTTGACTGGGAAACATTGCTATCTGTTTTAGAGGGGGGGGGGGGGGTTTCATGTGTTTATAGCTTATTATTATTATACAGTCTGTCCCTTAGTGGCACATTTTAAATAACGTTTTATATTTGCACAAGAACAAGTCTGTTTTCCTTGTCGATAATATGCTAGGGAGCATTTTGTCTAAACTCCACTTTGCTTCTGGCTTGATGTTCATAGTAATTTGTTGTGATGACAGCATATCATTTTTCATTCCTTAAATATTGCAGCATTTTTATCATTCAATGGCTTTTTGTACGCTAGTGGGAAAAAAACCCTCAATAGAGGAAAACAGTAAATCAGAGACTTTTTATTATAAAACTTTCAGTGGAAGTATTAAATATCACAGATACTATTATACCATCAGCTCATCTCCAGACAACACTGCCCAGGAACTATTTAGACATATCAATAAATTACAAAATGTTTCAATTCAGATAGTGAAGAAAGACATGACTCCTCATTTGTACAACATACATAATGTCAAAACAAGGCTAAACCATGTATTTTTTGTTTCATTTGTTTGCGATTAGAAACATAGTCGAGTAAGGAAGAAACGAAACGTAATGTCAAAGAACAAGAGATAATTTATAGATATCCAGAAGTTACACAACTAAATTAAAGTACCCTTTAAAATGGTTCGGGCAGCAAAAAAAAAAAAAAAAAAGAGGACATAGAAACCTGCAGTGCAACATCTACTTTAAAAGTGACCTTTTGCACTTATTAGTGTATGCAAATATCCTTTCCAGGGATTGGGGGTTGGTGATTAAGTGTTTGGAATGAAATGAGGACAGAATGAGTGCTGGTGCTATGCCTCATGTGGCATCCGCTCCAATATGTATTGTTAGAGCAGGACCGTCATTTCTGAAACTTGTTCAAGGATCACTAAGATGAGACTCCACTCTTCTGTCAAGCTCAAAACAGTAGCCCAACAACTACAGCACACAGAAAGAGATGAAGAGCACTAAAGTAAACTGAGATGAGGTTCCAAGTCCTGAGAGGCTTGGGTTTGTTAGCTGCTCCTCCTCCTCTTCCTGAACATGACACTCACTCCTGCACACTAATTGGTCCCGCCAAAGTGACTGAGAGTAACCTTCTTTACTCTCTCTGACACTCATCTGGGACGAGCTCAGTCCTCTCGTCCGCCTTGTGGGAGACAGCACTGCATGAACTGCACACAAATTATACACACACACATACTGGTACTCATACACATAGTTCATCCGCCAATGAACCCACTACATAATACATGATCAATCTATCTTGTCTGATTTAGTCTTCTGTGGCGATCAGACGGGATTGTGACTCAACCTTACAGGTCAGACCAGTTGCACAGAGGAGATTTAAGCATGTTAATATTTGTTAAAATCAGAAGCCTGTAGATGCTCTCTAGACTACATGATTTTAACCAATGTAAAAGTTTAAGTTACTTTGTAAACATACAAGAGTAGAGGGGTTTCATACTGAAGTAAACATAAGATTGTCACGTACGGTAAGTTGAATTCACTGAATCACAAACAAAACTAACAATGGAATGAGAATGTGCACTTCACTTCGTATAGCACCAAAAACACTAATTTAACAGATTGATTGATAGGCGGTCAAGCAGGCAGTATTAGGGTGTGGTCACATTTACCATTGTTCGGAAAATTTTGACAGGCAAAATCATGAAGTTTCAATAGGAATTTATGCGATCGGAAATTTGGCATGAGGGCAAACTATTTTCCCATGCAGATTTCGCAATAGGTCACATCATGGATTCAATGCGTTTACCAAAAGAATGCTGCTTGTTTTAAGTATGACAATGGATTTTTGCTGCAAAACTTAGCAGAAAATTGTGACCGCACCTTTAGGCAAAATAAATACAGGCTAAGGAGTCGTTAGATGCAGACGTGAGAACAATGTGAGATGCAGCGCGACGAAGACTAAAAAAAAAAAGAAAAAAAAATGTCACAGCAGAACATCTCAAAACAGGTTTTTATGAAATATTCTGAACAAAAATATCTGAAAAGCAGAATCAAAAGTTACTATTTTTTAAATGAAAATAATAATAATGTAATCACCCTGGCTATAGCTAAACTCTTCCTCCGACAAATGATTTTAACTCTATACAAACTCGATGCTAGCCCAACCCCAGGATTTTTCTGATTGGTCCACTATTTTGAAATTGACATTGATAAGTTCTGCTGTGCGTAAAATGTTGAATTTCTCTAAAAATGAAGCGCTAATGTGTGAGACGGGAAAAAAACGAGACGCGGAAAAACGATCAAAGATGTTCATCGAGTACGTGCATACATAGAAAAACTATTAAAAAGCAGTGCAGTGGAACACAAAAACACTGTAGAGATGTAGTCTCACTTCTGACCAGATCTTCTGGTTATGGGTTTGACTGGAGCTCAAAGAGCAAACACAAATAATAGGGTACTTCAGGTGTGCACATTAACCACTCCAGTGCTCATTTGGTGCTATTCAATGTAGCATATAAATCAACTGATGATGGAAGTCTCTTAATGGCTTTGACCAATTGTCACATCTTCAATCATGAGAGAAAAGACATATATATTTACAAAATAAATGTTCCGCAGATTGGTTATTGAAGAGTCACAATTCTAGTTTTGATACACCATCAATGCACAGAGTTTCTCGAGTTCCTCGGACACCAAGCTCTCATTATCTCTCATCAGTCCAAGAGAAGGTCCACTGGAATGCCTCTTTCTCTGCCACATCTCGCAAATAATAACTTTGTCCATAGTGGTCATCTTTATCACAATGATTTATAGATCTCAAAGAGTCAGTGAGGAGGCTTGTGGGATGTGAAGATCTTCTGATTCACTGTCTTTTGGCAGAGCAGGACTTGCAGCATTGTTGACCGTAGAATTTGTGATTACAAACACCGTGCTGAGGCACCAGATGACACCAGCTGAAGAAGTCGATGCAAGGCTGGCCTTCTGTTAATGGGAAAACACATAATGACTATTATTTATTTTGAACCTTAAAAACAACAGTGCGCACACAAACACTCAGTGTTTTTGTAAGTACTGTTTACTTTGAATAGATACATTGTGGCGATGTTGCAAACCACTTGGAATCACTGCACCAGCATACTGATAAGGACCTGACCTGCTCTCTGAAGGGCCTCGCTCAGTTTTCCCATGAGAATAAACAATTATACAGGCACACACACACACACACACTTATGTCTCTGTCGTATGTGCCTTGTACTACCAGAGAAAGAGATGATTTCTACATTCTAATTATATTTAAACATAACAATTATGATTTATTAATTTAAATGATATTGTTTTATCACACAATGTCAGTTTCCTATTGTTAAATAGTGGAGCACAATGTCATTTGACCTACTATGTGGTCTTAAATCAAAAAGTAAAGAGCGCACTGTTTTTACCTCTACATAATGAATAATTGTAAACACCAGTGATGTTTATCAAGCTTCATAATTGATTATGATACATATGTAATCAAGGCAACAATGAAACTTAACACTATGGAAAATATACATGCAATTGGCAGATGCTTCATCCAAAGCAATGTAAAGTAAATTCATGGTACACATTTTATCAGTATATGTTTCCTGTGAATCCAACCCATGACATTACTAACATCACGCTCTGCCAGTTGAGCTACAGAACAAGATATGAGCGTTCATAAATTCAGAAGTACGTCCACTCAGGCATTGGAGGTACTGTTAAGTGAGATAACATTTGTGCTAAAAGTTGGGGTGGTGTTCAAGGTGGCAACCGAAGGTGAGAACCTTCATGTGTATTCTGTGGTTGCATCACATGAATGTCGTGGAAATCAATTTCCTGGGTGTGTACTATTCTTAAACGCCAAGGAAGGAAGGGAACTAACAATGGGAGTAGATTAACTAGTTTCACTTCACATTGTGTAAACAGTCTGGTCATGATGCTGTTTTTATTTCAATCTGCAGCACAAGCCCTATCAAGGCTCTTGTAAATGCTAAAATGCATTTTTCTATTTGAATATATTTTATCTATTCCCATTATGGCAAAGCTGAATTTTCAGCACCATTACTCCAGTCTTCAGTGTAACATGATCATTTAGGAATCATTATAATATGCTGATTTACTGCTCAAGTAGCATTTCTTATATTTTTTATCAATGTTGAAAAAAATTGTGCTGCTGAAATTTATTTCCGGATTCTTTGATGAATAAAAAAGTCCAGTCTATGATTTGAAATAGAAATCTTCTATAACATGATAAATGTCTTTTTGTCAAATCTGATAAATTTAATGCATCCTTGCTGAATAAAAAAGTCTTTAAAATAGTCTTACTGATCTCAAACTTTTGAACGGTAGTGCGTTAAGTGCCTTCTAAATGAATAAATGTACATTTAAAGGCCAACCAGCTTGTACCTTTATGTGTGGGTGAGAGAGGTGGGACAGGACCAGGACAGAAGTATGTATTGCAGGCCCGTGAGCTTACGGGTCTCAGATGGGGTAAACAGCCCACTGACGGACGCCCATGTCTCAGACACTGAACGCTCCGTGTCTGCACCCCACCACCACAGGACACTGTGCACTGAAAGACACATGAACAGGACAGGAAGCTTAGAGGTCTGGCAGAATAGCAATGGAAACAGATCCCTGATTGGTTATACAGAGCTAGTTGTGCATACCTGCAGCCAAGGAGAGGAATACCAGCCCAGAGTCACAGAAGTGCCGCCCCAGTCTGGGCTAGGTTGAAGGAGCTGGGGTGGCGGGGGCTCTGGGCAGGGGCCGTTATTACAAGCTTGCTTGAGGTCTGTTTGGGGCTTATGTAGGTTCCTGCACCTCCTTGAAGGGTACTCAGTATAGCCTCCTTGGGAGTCTTTCTCTCCACAATGCAGCTCTCTTCTCCTTACTCCTGCTCCACAGGATGCCGAACACTGCGTGAAACAACCATACAATCAGATAATAGGGTATTGTTGGGGAAGCTACTCTGAAACTGTAGTTTGACAAGCTACAAGCTACTCGTAAGTTAAAGTAGTTAAACTACAGTCAAGCTACTCTTTTGGAAAAGTAGTTAGCTACACTACAAGTTACTATCAAAAAGTAGCTAGCTACATTGAAACTACTTTTGCTTTTTTGAACAACGTATTATTAATAACTGAATAAGTGTCTGAGGAGAGAAGGGGACAACAATACTTTTTGAAATCATAATTTTATTGCATTGTTTTAAACACTAAAACAATGCAATAAAATTATGATTTCAAAAACTATTGTTTTATTACACACAACACCCAAATATCTCAGATTGTTTGTCAAAAGTGCAAAATTGTAACCAATAGGCTACAACATTGCAAGAAAAACATATACATCCAACCTAAATTGCATGTAGAACATTTTCTCAAAAATACCGATTGAACTTGGACAAATAAGGCCATGGGTAATTAACGTTAGTTGTTTCTCCATCCTCCAAATCTGCTGTCACATCTTGCTCCATCGTCGTGTGTGTCAACACACTTCTGTACGTCAGTGAACTGTTAGCCGCAGATGTGTGATTAAACAACAGGTAGCGGTGATGGCAAAAAAATGAGTTTGTAATCTAACAAGAAGAAGAATATCCTAGCAGCGCGCTGATTCGCGCAGGCTCGACAAACACAATGTAGCTTTTGCTCGAGCTACACCGCTACTTGCTGCAAAAAGTAGTTAGCTACTGGAAAAGCTACACTGTTTAAAAAGCAACTGAGCTACAGCCAAGCTACTCAAAAATGTAGTTAAGTTAGTAGCTTCGCTACTTGTAGTTAACTACTCCCCAACACTGGGTATATACACATACAAACGACTCATGTTGTACACATGGATATCTATGTGCCATTCATTTCCACATTGTTGCTTAAAATAAATATTACTTTGAACAATCTTCATATTACATGCTTGCAAAGATAAAAGCGTCAAAACATGAGGGATTGTGTTTTTAAGCATACATGTAACCCATTATGTCGATTGAGTGTGACCTGGACACACCAAGTGGTGGGATATTTGGTAAACAGTAAATCTGTTTCAGTGTGTACAAGCAACTTTTGTAAACTGCTTGAAAATGCTAGTGTGAACGGAGAGCGTTTTGAAACAGAAAAGCAATGTTCTGATGTATCTGGTGAATATTTGCTCATTCTACATATGAACCGTTTGTGTGAGCGCTTCTACGTAACCTTTGGTATTCCTATGAGGGGCCTTACCTCTCCCCAGGCGGTAGTTATCCACTGCAGACGCTCATTCTTGGGGCAGCGGCTCAGCACACAGGTCTCTTGGGCTTTGGGCTTCAGGTGTAATTTACACATGCTGTCAGGCACCACCACAGCCCTGGCACCTGGATCAGTGCTCCTGCAGAAAACACTGCGCTTCTTCAACCCTCGCCCACAGGTCTTAGAGCACTAGAGAGAATGAAAGAAGGAAAGATAAACAGAGAGAGAGAGTTACCCTCATGTGGTCTTTGAGTGATGTTAGTTTAAACATTGTAAAGGTCACAGTGGCAAGCAGTTCACCTCAAACAAGAGTTGAAATGAACTCTTGAGACAGGCGGTGTGAACTCATTCTGACCTTTAGAGGGAATTTAGTCAATATCAACTACTACTGCAAAAACTTCTCAAAGATCTCAAACTGTTTATTCAAAACACGGATTTATGATTTGACATGTTGAGCAAGATTAGACCTAAAAAAAAAAGGTTAAAGAATTCAACATTGCTGCAAATGACGAAATGAAAAAGGGGATGCGTTTCAACATTCTCTGTGGCTTGTGTGTGCGTAAACGGGAAGATCAAGTTCGGAGTACACACATGTATTATAGCAAATATACACACACAGGCAAAAAAACAACAAGAAGAAAAGATATTAAAAAATATACTGTGTTTAAAGTACTCGTTTATCTAAAGAAACACTTCCAAGCATCACTAAAGTTTCAGAGATGTAATCTGCATGGTCATTTCTTAAGTCCAGAATTGATTCTTAATGTAAGCAATGCAACAGTGAGAGGTATGTGCTACATGTGCAATAACAGCAGGGGGCAGTAGTGTTTCAGTACTGATGTGATATATCGTTTAGGGCATCTCAAATCTTCACCTCATATTTGGGTCATTGCTGTGTACTTTTTTTAGCCCTTTTTTTAAAACTGAATACCCTTGTGTTGCAATTTAGGTACGTATTTCTATAAAAGGGTGTAGCATAATTTCAGAGACATGTTCTGGTTAAGCTCAAACAACTAACCTTTATAAAAAATGAACTCGATTGCTTACACAAAGGTAAGAAAATGAACAGGATCAAATTAAAGAGCTAAAATTGCCCATTGTTAGCTTCATGGATGAAATAAGAGTAAGATTACATGAGGTGTATTGTACAAAAGACGTGAAGTTAATTGTAATATTTTATAACCATTTTTAAAAAATGTAATATAACACTAATTTCTTTAATTTATGATTTTATGATTCATGTTAAATCATAAACTTTATCTAACAGGGTGGAATGTTTTAAGGCAAGACTAACCGCAGAACATCATAACAATGCACTACTAATGTCGGGATCTGACTTTTGTTAGTTAGGGATTTTGACATTTATTTGATCACGAATACAGTAAAAATGGTAATATTGTGAAATATTAGCATTTAAAATATTTATTTTCTATTTTAATATATTTTCAAATGTTATTCATTCCTGTGATGCAAAGCTACATCTTCAGCATCACATGATCCGATGTGATGGTCTGATTTGGAAACATTTCTTACGTTGAAACCTTGAGCTTGAGAGGCTGAGCTGCTTGATACTTTTTTCCCCTTTTTTTCAGGATTCTTTGATGAATAGACAGTTAAAACGGACAGTACTTTTTAGAAAAAGTAAACACATTTACTGCATGTCACAAAAGATTTTGATTCTGTCACTTCTGATCGATTTAATGCATCTCTGCTCAATAAAACGATTAAGTTCTTTCTTTTCAATCGGTCTCCAAACTTTTTAACAGTACATTTAAAGAGTAACTAAACACTAAACCAACTTTTTTTAGTTAATGATCTGTAAGAACGGATCTTTATTAATACCAGTCATTGATTTGAGTAAATTTTTTGACATTTGTTTATAAAGTGTTCTATTTTTACAATATATGGTGTAAAAAACGTCTTAGTGCTGCCCTCTTCAGGTTGAACAGTGGCTACTGCAGTTGAATTTTCCTATTGGATGTTCTGCACTTCGTGACGTACGCAGGTTTCAGCTCACCACTCGAGCTACACCCTTGGCAGTATAAAAACCATCTTGTGTCGTCAAAACCACGGTAGGGAGTCAGGAATTGGAATTGTGAGTATTGAAAACATCTTAGCATCTATTTCGTCCCGTCTATCTCCGCTGGGATCTGCCCACTTTTTCAGCATTTTCAAATATTGCCAGTGGGTGGAGTCAGGCTCTGACCAGGGGTTTAGTTACCCTTTAAAGTAAAAAATGAATTTATTTATTTTGCTGGTAAAAAATCTTAAAATGTTATATCTTTATCATGTGTATATATAATGTATTAAAATGTTAAATCTTTGTCTTTTTACACCCCATGATGACATCCTATTATGTAGGTCGCATGTGCATGTTAACATACCTGTGACCAGGAACCAGTGCTCCACTCTGGAGGACATGCCTGTGTGTTGCAGGGCTGTAGTTGAGCCGGAGCCATTACTGGACATAAGGAGTGAGCCGTCACCTCCTCACGCTGGTATGTCACCTTCCTCATGCAACGGATGTTTCGTGTTTGCTGCCCGCCTCCACATGTTGTACTGCACACTCCCCATTTGCCTGTCGTCCAACTGTCAAGACAAACAAATTGACCTTCAGATGTGAGCCTTATGTTCGAACATTTCAACATATTTTAACATGGAAGAGGACACTTTACATCCATATGGCACAAATACTTGACACACTTAGACAAACACAAGGGTTTCATTAATGATCATCACATTAGGTAGATTTTGTTTAGATTATGATCTGATTACTCTGTAAACGACATGATGGAAAGACTAATAAAAAAACGCATAGGGCCTACATCTGTCTGGGCTCACATGGGCATATACACCACAAATCACATTTCCAGCTTAAGAGTTTAAACATTATCAATGGATGCACACCTCCTTCTAATTTATGAAATTTTTACATGACAAAATATTTCAAAATACAGATCTGGCAAGTAAATGAGACATTCCAAGGTTTTGTAATAGATTAATCCGTTTCATTGCAGAAATATGATGAACAAAAGCTGGAATTAATCAATGGCTTCTTTCTGAATCCTCAATATGTCAAATGTGCTTGCTTTTTGGCACTTTTGTGATAATGCAATAGTGCCCTCCTATGGCCAATCATTCGTAAATAAATAAATACATAAAAAAAAGGAAAAGCTCTAGTGTGAATGTGCAAGTCACATTGTGAATGCACTTTTTCCGTAGCACACTAAAACACGGAAAATTAATACAACTTCAGTTATGTACTCAAAGTTATTTCAGCTCAGGTTTACAGAACAAGGACATTGTTAACGTTTTTAATAAATACTGACACGGGTTGAAGCATCACTCCAGTCTTCAGTGTCACATGATCCTAAATTATTCGAATATGCTGATTTGCAGCTCAAGAAACATTTCTTATAACAATTTTGAAAAACAGTTCTGCTGATAAACAGAAAATTCAAAAGAACTGCATTTATTTGAAATAGAAATCTTTTACAAAATCGGTGCCTTTACTGTCACTTTTGTTTAATTTAATGCATCCTTCCTGAACAAAAGTTTTAAATTCTTCCAACAACATAAAATAAATGTGACTAAAATGTGTAAAATGTGTATATTTCATTTTGCACTTTTCTATTAGATAAAATTGTGAACTGAAATTCACTTAAAGAATATGACATGACAAAATACTGGCTACACTGATGCCACAACAGCTCTCTTCCAGTGCTCAGATTGCAACTCTGTCCTTGCTTCTCTTGGCTGTGGATGAAAAGAGGCTTTTAAAATAGAGCTGGGCAGGCCAGGGAGAGATTAGAGCAAATGACAGCTATGACAAGAGCCGTGGCCGCAACACCGGACAGACGCCCCGGGTCGAGTTCTTAGAAGACCCGGTTCCACCCAACCACTCACACAGACCTGAGCCACGGAGCTGAGAAAAATCCTTTAATTTTCTCTCCAGCCATCTGACAAATTGGAGGGAGATGGTTAAACTGCTATTTTAAATGAGGGAAGAAACACGATCCACAGCACAATATGCCTTCTCACTCCCCCTCGTGCTCTCCTCGCCACATAAATGACAATGTGTCATTGGTCAAAGAGCTGGCATGCCGTGCCTCACTGCAAACCGCTGCTGGCTCTTGTTTTAATCCTGTATTTCTGGAATCTTTCAATAACTTGCATATTTCAAGCCATACAATTAAAGGAGACATATCTTTGGGGACAATACAGTGGACTGCTTCACATTTCCGGATACAGTCTGATTTTGCTGGCGTTTTCTCCATGTCTGCCCAAAACGATGCACCCATAATTCATACTTATTCAAAATCACTTTTTAGCATTCTCTGTGAAATTCCTTTGGTTTGGAAGCATTTGTCAGTTTAAGAGCTCTAAGAGAACCATGTATTTTCCTAAACCCACGCGACTTTGAATTCCTTCGCTAAAAATATCACTTTAAACAAACTAAAGCTTGTGCGTTAAAAACTTTAGGTATGTTTAGTTGTATTATATAGGAATTTGTCTTTACTGTTATTCATTACAGTAGTCTTTGTTTTTGTTTTGTTTTGTTTTTTTCAGTGATCATGTTGTAATTGTCAACCCCTATTGCAAAGCAGGTTTATTGGCAAAATGTACAGATTTTTAGCTGTTTGCAATGAACAAATCAAGCAAATAGCTCAACAAAAATGTTTCCCCAAAAAGTGGTTTCCCCAAATTCAACTGAAAATGCAACTTTTAATGACTTTTAATGCAGTCTCAAAATTATTCAACCCCTTCATGGCAAGCATCTTTAATACTTAGTAGAACACAATTTCGCTGTTATGACCTGCTGCAAATAAGATGTATAACCAGACACCAGTTTCTGAGGAATCTTAGCCCGTTCCTCATGAGCAATGGCCTCCAGTTCAGTAATATTCTCGCATGCAACTGCCCTCTTCAAATCCCACCAGAGATTTTCTAGGGTCTAAGTCAGGTGACTGTGATGGCCACTGTAGAATCTTCCAGGACTTCTTCTGCAACCAAGTGGAGTTTCAGGTATGCTTGGGATCATTGTCCTGTTGGAAGTTCCAATGTCGTCCAATCTTCAACTTCCTCACTGATACCATGATATTTTCTCCTAAAACTTCAATGAATCCATCTTGCCTTCCACATGCTGCAGGTTTCCAGTTCCAGAGGATGCAAAGCAGTCACAGAGAATCACCACCATGCTTAACTGTAGACTGAGGGTTTTTCAGCATATTATTCATTCAGCTTCTTTCAGATATACCGCTGATTCATAGGGCCGAAAAGTTCCAGTTTGGTTTCATCGCTTCACAGAACAGAATCCCAAAACTTCTGTGGCTTATTTATATGATTTTGAGTATTTTTCTTGTGCTTTTGGGTCAGTAGTAGTGTATGTCTTGGAGTTGCATGCGTTTAGTTAGAGCCAGTGCAAGCTGAAACCTCAGTGTCACTGTTGACACCAAGCCTTGCTGTATGTCTTTTGCAGTCATTCAATGTTTTTTTTCTGAATCTGCTCAGAAAACTGGATGCAGCCATTGATAGCTTCCTTTTTTCTGCCTCATTTAGGTAGTGTAACCACTGTTCTTTTAACTTTGAACTTGTGAACTATGAACTTGTGAACTACTACTCTCAACAGTGTCTGTAGGTCAAGCAAACCTGGTGCAACTAATGAAGCCTTTGATTAGTGTGCTTGAGACACCTGTTTTGCAGATTTGTGCTGTTGTGAGGTATCCTATTAAGCGGGGTTAAAGGGGTGATGAACTGAGAAATCAAATTTTCCTTGAGATTTTGACATCTAAGAGGTCATCATATTATAAGAATATCCTGTAAGTTCCTGAACTGAAAACGTCCTTGTTAGCCCAATAAAAGCTTTTATTGACACCAGCCTCAGCAAACGACTCGTTTTTAAAAGTGGGGAACTATGACGTCAAAAAGGATAAAACACCACCTCCACAGAAGAAGATCAACGCTTATTTCAACACGGCCGGTTTAGCCCCGCCCACCGACTCGCGCATTACACGCATAGCTAAATAACATAGATTCCTACCTCGTGATGACAAAACGGATCGAGCTACCGAGCGAGCAATACAGAATATTGTGCAGTGCCTGGTTGTGGAAGAAGACGTAAGTTTCCTCTGAATTCCAATAGGACTGCATAGATAAACTTTATTTTTAATGACTTTCCAGCTGATGAGATAAAACATCGTCCGTCTGTTCGCTTCATTTCACTGAGGATTTTTTTGTAAACAAGACTGGATTTGCTGACCGATTAAGAATAAAGAACGGCGCTGTGCCGTCTATATTGGACCTGACAGGAATTGTGCAACACACGGACTCTGGGGCAAATCATTCCGGTTGCCATTTTACAACATTGGACGTTTTTAAAACAATTTCCCCCAAGTGCATTGACGAGGTAAGTTGAAACTCATTATAATATGCAAAACTGTTCTCCACTGTTTACTTCCAAGTCTTCAGTGTGAGATACCCATAAAAACCGAGCATTTTTCAGGTAGGCTCAAAACTTGGGTACAAAATAGCCTATTACTTATTCATTTTGATGTTTTTGAATGCAAAAACCAAGCGAACGTCATAAGTTGACTTCAGACAACAATATAATAAAATTTAAAAAGCCAGTTCATGACCCCTTTAAATAATTTTGAGACTGCAAGTCATTAAAAGTTGCATTTTCATGAATTTGGAGAAACCACTTATTATTAGTATTATTACAATTTACCTAGTATTGTACAATTTAAAATAACTTTATGTGAATATGTTTTAAAATGTAATTTATTCCTAAACTTCAGTGTTATCCTTCAGAAATCATTTTAATATGATTTGCTGCTCAAGAAACATTTTGTGGAAACCGTGAAAAATTCTTTGTTGAATAGAACAGCATTTCTTCTAAATAAAAAATCTTCAATGTAAAGGCCTGAAGAGTGTCAGTTGAAGACAAAAGCAAACATATAACCGTGCAACACAGCTAAGAAACTGAAAGAAAAGCACTGCAAAAGTCTTTAGGCATGTGCATTAATCTTTTCATGACATTTTATGGGACAAATGAAGCTAGCCGCTTATGGGCCCGACCCATGTTTGAAGTCACCGTGCTCCTCGCTTCACAGAAGCAGCAGGGCAGCATTTGCAGCTGGGAGCATGTTGTCAGACTGAGTCCTGTAGGCCATAGTCTGGAGATTAGCGCTCGATTCCTGATTGGCTAGATTCGCTCAATCCCCACAGGGATGCCGTCACTCTTGCTCCATAATAAAACATGGGAAAACCTGTCAACACTAAAGATATTTGCTGGAAAGATAAGCAGAAGCTTCTGTCTTTTTCTCCTGTTTTGAATGTGTGCCCATACTTTTTCTGGAAGTGTTTTCAAAGGTCTATTTATTTTCCCTTTCCTGCAGCCTGTTTTTAGTTTTCATGTTTTCGTCAGTCATAAATCAAAGTACATAATGCCTCATACAAATAATGTTTCGGGAGTCTAAAGTCGATATCCTAAGGCCGTGATGGAGGGAAACAGACTCTGCTCGGCATACAGTGGGGGAGGTCATTAGTAACTGTGGGATTTAGGACCTGTCTGTCTGAACAATAAACACCCTTATAGTATAACCTAGACCAAAAAAAATCTTGAATAGTGGGAATCTCATGAAGAGAAAAGAAAAAGCATGAGGCCATTTAAGATTTAACATAATGCCCCATTGTGCCTTCATTTAAAAAGCTCTTAAATGGATGAAAATTAAAATTCTGATATCAATTTCTCACCCTCTTGTTGTTCCAAACCTGTATTACTTTATTTCTTCTGCAGAACACAAAATTGGATATTTTATATTAAAGTAAATGTGGTCCAAAACAATACTAGACCTCACTGACTTTCATTGTACGGATTAAAAAAAAAAATCACAGAGACATTTTCAAAATATCTTCTTTTGTGTTCTACACAAGAAAAACGTAATACAGGTTTAAAAACTGCATGAGGCAGAATAAACGAAGACAGGATTTTCATACTTGGAGAAACTATCTCTTATCCCTGTAACTATCTCATTGTGTTACCCACAAAATGGTGATGTCATTGAGGTGTGATGCCAACTGAAGGAGTCTGGCATCACTGGTAATCTCTACCGGTAATCAAAGTACCTCTGCTCACCAAGTTAAAGTGTCATAGGGTTACAGGCAGACATTGGTGGTGAGTGATGGGAATCCGTGCAGGCTGTTTCCACAAATCCAGCACCGCCGCAGACACGCTGCTCTCCCGTCAACCCTGCCGTTGTTTTCAATTATACTGTTATTGGACTATTTGTCAGGCTTTGAATGGGACAAGCCAAATTGGTTAGAGCTTGTTGCTGTAAGGAAACAATCATATGGTCTTGATTTCCCCTTTTAGCATCGCCTCGCCATGGCCTGCACATTATAATAGGTCGCAGCCAACATTTCACACGATGTAAGGCCAGAGAGAAAGAGAGAGTGAGAAGGATGGAGGGAGGGAGGAAAGCCAGGAGGAGTGATTTGTTATCTGAGTGCCAAAATGGTGTGTCAATGCCTTTCACCCTTGCAAGTGAAGGATGCTGGGTATGTAGATTCCTCTGTAAGGCAAGAGATCAGTAAATCAAGTCGAGTTGAGAGTTGCTCTTTTGAGAATAGTAGCAGGAATCTCAAAAGGAAGATAGACCGGCAGATTGAGACACCCAGAGAAAGGCTGTTTTGAGCAGCTCCTTTCATAGTCTCCAAAGCCCACAGAAGGTTTCTGACACCTATAGGCTGAGAATGTTTTCCCAGGGTCCCTAGTGAGACAGTCCCCATTTTTCTTTCTCTTTTTCTATTAAAAATGTCTTTAAGCGTGTCTTTTCTTAAGTGACTTTTTTCCCATTTATCCTACTCATTTCCAAATATAACATCACCCTTTTCAATCATAACTCTCATTGTAAATAAAGTGGGAGTCTTCCATAAATATGACACCCATTCTTGGAATATTTGAGTATTAATTCACTGTAGTCAACAAAAAGACAAGACAGAACGCGAGACTAGAATTTGTGTGAATATATGCCTTATTGAGAAAGCTGGTTGGCGTATGTGTGTATGTGGGTTTGTGTTTGTATAATTTAAGAGGTGCGTGTGTGGCAGGCTGTGGCTTGGAGCTGGAGTTTGGACTGTGAGGGAGCAGTCAGTCCATGTCTGGAGGCTATGTTAATCCTGTTTTCTTTAAGGAATAAAACAGAGAGGAGAACCCGAGAGAGAACGTGACTTTTCAGAGACAAGTCGGGTTCTGCTCAAGCTGAAGCTATACCACAGCTGATTTCAGACAGACATACATACGAGGGCACCGTGTCCATCAATAATGCTGGAGAGCATGGTTGAACACCACTGAGAATTGAACTAAGAATGCTTTTAAAATTCCATTTAAATGTTTTATTTGAATGGAGGTAGCAAACATGGTGTAGAATTTAAATTTAATTAAAATAACTAAACTTTAAAAAAAAAACTTATTTTAGATTAAATAAAAATTCCCCCTAACTTGTTTAATGCATGTAATTGATCTTTTTCTAAACTGTAATTCCATTACATACTCTAGTGAAAAAAATTACACCAAAATCTATTTTAATCTATCTGTTTAATACTAAGAATACAACAAACACATTTCTTAATATTAAGCCTAAAATGTGTTTTAATATCACGATTAGTATCTCTGTATAAAATATATACTTGTATTTATACTCACTTTAGCACAATCAAATATACTTAAGTATATCAGCACTACTTCCTGATAACTAAAGTCAATTAGGTAGAAAATTAGTTGTATACCAATTCAGTATACCAAAAGAACAGTTTCAGAATATTTTATATGAAGACCATAAATATGTAAATGTATTTGCAGTATACTTAGCATAAAATAAATGTATTTCAAATACATGTAATAAATGTAAATGTAATAAATAAATGTATTGTAAATACATTTTGGTATATTTATTTTTCACTAGGGTCCCAAAAACTTTAAGATGTCTTGTTTTATTATTTATTTATATTGAATAAATTGACCTTTATTTAATGGACAAACACTTCCACACCAAAATTGCATTTCTGGAAATTTCTATGAATTGTAATTCTGAAGTTTGAGAATTGCACTTTAACTACCGCTGTGCGATCAATTCAATTCTAATTTCAGTGCATGAACTAAAAGATGGCCAAATCTCAAGCAAGTATGGCATAGGAAAGCCAGATACAACACACACACACACACACACACACACACACACACACACACACAGAGAGAGAGAGAGAGAGAGATAGACTCTTACTAGGCAGGGCAGGGCTGTGTGTTACACAGGTGAGAACCAACCACAGGTCTGGTCTGAGGGTTGCAGAGCGAAGAGTTGACCTGCGTGTTTTGATCCTGCAGACAAAGGGCTTTCGTCGAGACCCGACCTGAGAGAGAGTTAGAAACAGATGGGATGGCGGATGAGTACAAACACTTTGCATCTACTCTCTTTGGATATGTTGTAGAGATCCTTCTCAGATAAACGAATGCATCATCAGAGCAAACTTTTGAAAAGGTAAGCTTTGAGCACACTGTCCATGAATGGTCTTTCTGGGGATTATGGAAGCTCAGGATGAATGGCAGTACTGTAGTGTGGCTTCTGTTGAGGCAAACAAAGCTGGGCCTCTGTCAGTGTGAGAGGCCAGGAGGGGCTGCCCAGAGATCTGCTCTAAAGAAAAGCATGAATGAAACTGTGTGAGAGCGCAGATAGAGATCTGTGCTCTGGGCATGTCATAGTGCTGTCTGTCTGCCACCAACACTCAGAGAAAACTGACTGTGAATGGAGGAGCCACTACCACAGAGATGAGCCAATGAGATTGAGGGGTCTGAAGGGAAGGAGGGCCAGACTTTTGTCTTTCTGTCCTACTCACAAAGGTGTATTTTATGGACCTGGACAAACACACTCATACACTTCCTTTCTCAACAACACACAAGCACAAAAACTCTCCACTCTCTCACACTTGTGTCAACGAAACAAACATGCAAATTACATTTGGCACCGACTCACCGCCGGCACAAGGCGCTGAGCAGTCAGAGCGCACCACAGACCAGGTGTAGTTGTGCTTCTTCTCTGGATGGGGTAAAGTATACTCCCATGATACACCAGGATTTTTACCCTGAAGAAGAATCTGTGGAGGAGAGATGATCATTGGTCAGTTATAATCCAGTGACAGGTTTCTGTCTATCCAAGTGCACACTACTGTTCACTGAGTTCAGTCATTTTCATAACATTTTCAACACTTAAATTATCGCTTCTGTCAAACTGAGATTGAACTTGTTTCTGAATGTCTTGTCAATGTCCTCGTATTTCAGCAAGGGAGAAGGTGCCAGAGTGTCTGGTGCTTTTTTGAGGCTATGGCTCCATTGGGACTGAGAGATGACACCACAGTGTTACTAGTGATGTTGCACTGGAGGGATGTTTAAATTAGATTGTCTATGTGTTTGAACTGAAGCTTGTCAGCTTGGAAAACGGCATAAGTGAACCGAACTGTGGGTTGGGTGAATCTGAATACTTTTTTCATATAGTGGTGTACAATGAGACTTAACTTCCCAGGAAGATTTACATCAAAGTTAATGTTTCATTAGGCCTGTATGCTGCAGTTTGGTGGCTGTTCTTGGAGAAGATCTTACAGTCATTCATGTGAGAGACCACAGAGGAAGTTCAGCAGGTTTCTCACTAAAACTGTGCCCAGGGCCAGTGACGACAGCCTGAGGATAATTCTAATGGAGTGGAAAAGTCCTCAGACAAGAAGAGGAGCTTTGTTTTTTTCTTTTACTTAGGCTTTGCCACATGGGGATTTTCCTCAGACAATTTGTAATAAAAAAAATGCAATGACACTAAATTCACTGGAACTGGTAAACCACCAAATTATATGTAGAATGTACAAACAAAGCAGCTAAACAAGGATTGAATACTAAGGGTCATTGCACTCACTGAAGTGTTACAGCAGTGTTTACACAAGCCAACAGTAATTGCAAGGCAGCCCAAATTTATCGTAAGTAAGAGTGAAAACTGAAGTAGTGGATTAGGCAGATGCCACCCAACCTCTAATTACTATGGATTTGCCCTCGGTGAGTTACTGTTTTGAACAGGAAGAGTGTGGCAGGCTGCTGCTGATGTGGGAAGATTATCCTTAAGTCAGTCACAATAAACACAATAAGTACTCTTCCCCCAGCCTCAATGCTCAGCCAGATTAACAGGTTAGCTAAAACTATCAAATTTCTTTACAAGCCAAAATGGGGTTCAGTTTCATGTCATGACTATGTTTTAGATTCAGGATAGAGAGGCATGAGTTTGTGTGCATTCATGTTTTTAGTTCAATGAGATGCAAAGACATGTAGTAGAGGGGCAAATAGTCTATCAACAGAACATCAGAAGGCACTGTGTGAATCAAACAAAGGTGGTGTTTGAATGAGGATTTCCAGAGGAAGCGAAACAAGCATATTGAAAGACAGTGGCAAGTTAGCAAACTTTTTGGCTCACTTTCTTTCCGAGCATCCAGGCTGAATCTATTGCCCTGGAAGTGATCCATGAGGCCATGCACGCTAGGTCCAGATTTACAGTTGGCACTGAACACAGAGCAGCTATTCCAGCTATTCTCAGGAGGAGGTCTCTGATCCATCTGTGATCCGGCTAGCCATCTGACTATGGATGCAACACATGGAGAAACTCTACCTCTTCTGGTCCAGGGTCAAGACCCACATGAGTCTATTGCACTATGTCTGTGCTCTGATATAGGAAGTCTAGAATTTCAGTCTTAACATATGCAACATGAATCACAATTCTGATTATCAACTCAACATGCAAACATCATTCCCTATCCAAATACTGCTTACATGTGTCTTATATTGTCTTATATCGCAATATAAGCTTAATGGCAAGCTTCTGTCCCCATTCTCGCACTAGACATCCCCTTACTATCTTTCACCCTAGTCATTCTAAATAATGGGGCAATTAGAAAATCTGGGGCAATTACTGAACTCTGTTGAACAGGACCACTAGGATAGGTTCATTATCAAGCACTTCCAGTATAGGGTTACTACACAAACATCCATCTGTGCCCTGGCTAGAAGTGCAGAAGTTTCTCCCATCATAAAGAAAAAAGAGTGGATGAAAGACTGATGAATGGGAGCATGGATAACACATCTAAATATCCCGATATACTTCAAGAAAAATGAACAATATCAGACCAGAATGAGTTCAAGTTCGTTTGGAGTTTGTTTTCGAGAGTTTGAAATATGCTGAACCTTCCGGAAAAGATTGCTCCAGCTGCTAAACACCTTCAAACTATGGTTGGTGCATGGTGATTACGTAATAGGTGTGCTCTGGGGCTCCACTTTTCTTGATGTGGAAATCTTCTCTGGGGAATTTCTTCTGTTCAATCTGGGTTTGCTACAAGGTATGCTTGCTACAGGAATGCTACAAGAATGTTAATACCTGAATGAAAATGAAACGAGTGTTTAAATCAGAAGTTTGAAGTTTGAAGGGAACGTTTTGATATGTCTTGTCTAGTGCCTCTCAATCCACCTTGCTGAGCTGATTACAAATTCTGGAACCAAGTCAAGGTGTACATTCACATTTTTTAAAGGGAATTTTTCCTTGACATTCAATAAGGGTCTTGAAACTGAAGTAGAAGGGTAGACTGAGAGATCCAGTCACGCATAATTGACCAGCTGCTTCCCTCGAATCACAACTCCAAGCCTCTCTGATCTACTGAGTTGAATTGCAGAAATCTTAATCTTTTAATCTCTCTCTAACCTTCTCTTCTTTTTAAAATTACAGAGCATACTTAGAGAGATTAATGCCAACTCATCTGCAAATCAGACCTCTACTGCCACTGCCCACCCTGGGGAAAATGTAATGAACAGAGGGCATGTAGGATAAAGGGGAATGCTGCATGCACGTAACACACAGGTTGAGTACTGTGCAGATCAAAGGCCAGAAAATAAGATCAAAATGAAAGTGTATTAAGTGAAGCATGCTTAACTTTTATACAACTCACTTACTCAACAAAACCTGCTGTACTATCAAGACCACATTTTCAACACTTTGAGGTGTTGGTTACAAAAGAAATGTGGACGTTTAATTGCAAACACTTAATGTATACTGTAAATAATGTATCAGCATTTGTTGTAGCTGGTAAGTGAACAACAGAAAGACATCCAACCATGTTCTGTGATGTAACATTTAGTGATGGTTACAACAAATATTTCAGAAGATATTCAGCAGAATTTTATTGTGTTGGTGTTACAGTGTTATTCTTTAGACGTATGTTCCCTATTGAAAAAAAAACCCTATAGCAAAATGTATTTAAAATACATTTATTTCATACTAAGTGTAGTACAAATCTATTAGCATATTTACTGACATTTCAGTCTTTAAATGCAATATATTTAAAGTGTACCATAAGTATACTTGCGATAGTTCCATTTTTACACAATCAAATACTTAGTCCATTAGTTAACATTAGTTAATGTATTAACTAACATGACCTAACCATGAGCAATACATTTGTTACTGCATTTGTTATCCTTCATTGATGTTAGTTAATAAAAATAAAGCTGTTCATTGTTTGATCATGTTAGTTCACACAGTGCATTAACTAATATTAACAAGATTTTAATAAAGTATTAGTAAATATTGAAATTAACATAATAAATGCTGTACAAGTGCTGTTCATTATAAGTTCATCCTAACTAATGTAGTTAACTAATGAACCTTATTGTAAAGTGTTACCGGTATATATTTGGTTGGACCTCAGCACTATTTCTGAATAACTAAAGTGCATCAGGTACAAAATTAGTAGTTCCAATTTAGTAGACTTTCAGTATATCAATTCAATATACCAAAAGTAAAAATGCAGGGTATTTATATTGCGTTACTAAATATGTAAATGTTTTTGTAGTATACTTGTAGTATTTCAAATACATTTTGGTATGTATTTTTCACTAGGGTTGTCAAGGTCATAACTTCATTTTCTCTACATCTCGATATAACAAACGTCTTCTACACGAAATCTTACAAAGATCTCATTTAATTTTCCCTTAAACTCGATGTAAGCAAAGTTGTTTCCCCTTGTTTTACATAAAACTTGTTTCTTCACATTTTCTTCTTGGTGTGGAGGTAACAAAATCCATTTCTAATTGCAATGTATACAACTGCAATGTAATGCCGAGAACAAGCATAATATTACATATCCCACAGAACTGATCTATTACAGCAAGACACAATGGCATAAAGGTTTAAATGATTCTTCTGAAATCAAATTATCACCCTTTCTCATCTGCACACATCTGAACCCGCACTCGTCAGCCATCATGTAAGAGGTGCCCATTAGCAAGAGCACACAGTGCAGCAAGTCCAAAGCTTAGTGCTATTCACAATGTCGCACCGTTTGATCTTGAATCTCCACATACTGAAGATGAAAGTCACAATGACCATGTCGGCTCTGGCCTGCAATTAATCCCAAACAGAGGCGTTAGTCTGCCCGTTTGACTCATTTGTGTGCCTTCTCTTCTGTCTCTCTCTATCTTTCCCTCATTTGTTTCTCGTCTCTCTTGCCCGCCCACTGTCCCTCAGCCTTGTTTTCATCTGACCGAATGGCCACAGTGCTCTTGCCAAGACCCTGTCATGGCTAATTCGCTAACAGGTGTCAGGCCAGGCAGGGATGGGGGTCACTTACTTCAAAGAGCAGGGTCTCATTAGTGGGGCCTGTGGCGTACAAGGTCTCAGGCCGGTTGAAAGAGCGCTGATAGTTGAACGTAGTGCCGGCGAACTGAAATCTGCCCGGCCAGTCCACCGTCCAATCCCCCGTCAGGTAGTACGTGCCACGCTTCAGGCTGCGGACGGCCAGGTAGCTGGTAGAGATCTCCATCTCCTGCACCCTGATGCTCCTCGCTCCAGCAGGAACCATCACAATGGGGTAATACTCTGAAGAGAGAGAAAAAAGAGAAATAGCTTTGCCATGTCTGTTCACTTTCACAGTTTCTGCATTTTTTAGGCCCAAAGAAAATGGGCGTCTTTGAGCTGATGCATAATCATCTCCTTTAGTCAGAAGAGAATGAAAAGGTGCCAGACTGCAGAGCTCTTGCTGTGTAAAGTGCTCTAAAAAATACATTGGCGTTTTCTGTTAAGCCTGAGGAGAGGAGCTCTAAAGTGGCTCACAGACTTGCCTGCACTGGAATAAATGTATTTTATTTCATATATTATCAACATATTTTATTTTATTCAAGGCCACTAGTTCTAAAACTATTTTGATCAAATCAGAACAATCAAGTACCACCTTATTACAGTCCTCCAAAATGAAGTCCCTTTACTGTCCCTTTCACACATACCACTACCATTCAAAAGTTTGGGGTCAGTAATATTTCATTTTTTTAACTAAAGAAATTAATACTTTTATTGTGTAATGATGCATTGAATTGATCAATAATGATAGTAAAGCCATTTATAATGTTTATTTCAAATACATTATGTTCTTATGAATGTTCTATTCATCAAAGAATCCTGAAAAAATGTATTATGGTATGTAGTATGTATACGGAGTAGTACGGAGCCAGGGAAATCACCAAAAAATACAAGACCTGCAAATCCGTGGCCATGTCTTTTTCCCTGTGTTATAACAAATTCAATGCAAATTCTTAAATTGTTTTCTTGGTTTGACATATCTTGCCAATGGAATAATAAACCATACCTATGAGATCATAATCCATGATGCACTCAGATTTGTAAACTGTACATTTAATTTATGAATTTGTGGGGACGGATTTCAAACACTAAAGATATCAGAGCAGGGATTATAAACTCTTGAGTACAGTTAAACAATCCATGGAAACCGAGGGAACAGTTTAATCATTTTTGAGTCCCAATGTAAAAATGCAAGACTATTATACATGCATAAAAGTAAATTAAATTTACTTTACCAAAATTTACCAAAGTAAATTCCTTGTATGTACAAACATTCAGGGCGAATAAACCCATTCTGATTCTGATTCTGATAAGGATGTATTCAAATTCCAGATACATTTTTATTTTATTTTATTTTTTTTATTTTTGTTTTGGTAGGGTCATGTTACGTATCCCCTCAGGTGAGAACCAATGCTTTAGACACTTTTCTATTATTTTATAATGATTTACTAATTGTTTCTGTCTCTTGAAGCCTGTTTCTCTTCCAAATATTGATTTGTCAGAGAAGGTCAGAAGATATGAAAGGAACACCCTCTAAAAGCACCTTACCATTGGCCCTGTGCTGAAGGATGTACTGGCCACTGTAGAACTTGCAGGTGGAGTTGTCACCTTTACACACCCCACAGGCATCTAGAGCGGCATTTGATCCCAACACCTGGTCACAGCCTACCGGCTACACAGGAAAAGTTTTTCAAATTAAATTAACAAACTGACATGCTCAGTTTAGCCCATTAGGCCTGTTGAACACAACAAAATGAAAACCAGTGAAAAATCAGTGTTAAATGTGATGCCAGAAATATGACTATTTCAGAAACCGCATCTCCTCACATACCTCACATATCCCATCGATGCACACGCCGCCTTTGTAATCAGAGCAAGACGTCCCATCTTTGACTTTGCTGGACATAGCGAAGAAAAAATCAAAGTCCTCAGCAATGCAGTACAGTTTGCAGATGTCCTCTTCTAAATAGGAGATGAATAGGGTCGTTAGATCTTATAGCTTCAGAGGGGTTTTATGTTAGATCTTTTTTAGCTGTCCACCGGTACCCTCAGCATGCTGCTATGAAGTTTCATGCATGAAGACATATGAAGCAATGATCTTATGAGCAATTTTTCATACAAAACGCAGGTGGACTTTTAAGCCAGAAAAATGAATGATTGCCATATATCACATTTTATAGGTCAAGTAGTTCGAGCTTGAGTATTGGATTGCTCAAACACAAATTGCTGCCTAAAAAAATTAAATAAATACAATAAAATCCCTTTAAAATGACGTCTGTCTGTGTAGTTGTATAGTCGCTACACAAAAGATGCCACACAATGCCAATGTGTACTACTGTCTAGTGCTAATTACTGGGCATGTGTAAGCTGTGTATGGTTGGCCGTGAAACAACTTGAAGACTCGCCATGCTGTACAGAACATCCCCACAAAAACATATGTTACACTAAAATTTAAAACTCCGCTACAAATGGGCCCCTAAAGCTGGAATGCAAGAGGGACGGCTCTATCCAACTCTCCAACTGAGAGAAAAATATGGACCTATCAGAGATACATCATTCTGTATCCACACTTCCCAGTCAGAAGAAACAGACCCAGGCTTGTTCAATACAGCAGCACATTATGAACTGTTTTGTCCTTCTATTGTGAACATATTAGATCATAATTCTTGCGCTTTTCCTTCAAAGTACATCACAACATTTAAATTCTGCAAAACCACGATGATGTTACGGGCTTAAAGGTGCAGCTGAAAGGGAAACCAAACAATAGTAAAATTAATGTCCCTAACAGTTAAGGCCAAGTGAAGCTTATCAACAGAAGACGAAGGTGTTTAATCCAATTTGATTGAACGCCAAAAGCCCAGTCAAACAGGGGTAAGTTTTCCTAACACCTGTACTAGTCACTGAAAATAAACCAAGGCCAGACATGATCTACTGATTAGAGAATAGAGCTCCAATTACCCCACTGACACCCCTGGATACACCAGGAGACACCTCAGCATCTCCTCTCTAGGCTTTCTCTTTAGTTTTAAGAAAACTGGTACCCAAATGTTCTTATCCTTTCCCCCTTTTCACTTCCAGCCCACTAACTCATAAGGAAGCCCAAAAACATAAACAGCCTCAATGGGTCCTTTTCAGGTACAAACCTGTCTACAGGGTTGATCAGTGCACTGCGCTCACAGAACGAGTAGCTACATGTTTCCAGTCCAAATCCATCCACTGCTCAGTCAAGACACAGTAGGTGAGATAAATCGTTTGGGCGGAATATGTTTGTCTGATGTAACGATCTCAACACATATTGTCTGAAACAAATGGGCATGATTGCTATTTTAAAAACACACATGTTCTAGCTGAGTCAGATATCAGAGGGTAGACTCTTAGAAGAGAAGGTTCTATATAGAACCGTAAAAGGTTCTATCAGCGCTATTTGGAACCCCTAAAAGATTCTATACAGAACCCTTTTTAAGGGTTCAAGGGTTCCTGGTTTTTTTTAACCAGGAAAAAAAAAAGTTCTATTTGGAACCTTTTGGGTTCATTATCATTTGTTTTGTCCTTTCCGGATTAAATATTCCACATTATTGACAAACATCAAGACCCTAAATGTATTTGTGAATGCATGTGAATGATCACAAAATTCAAGATATGGGGGTTAGAAAATGTATATATTTATATAATTTTATGTAACTAATCAATATCACTCGAAGAGTGCCATTTTAGTTTTTCTTCTCCAAAAATCAGCATAATTAAAACGTGATATTAAGTTACTACAACAGTTTAATAAACAATAATTTAATTACAGCTACAAAATATTGCAGAATAATGTAATATATGAATGAATAATAGCATATAAAAAACCTTTGTGCCAAAAGGGTTGTTTCTTGTCATTATAGAACCTTTTTTAGCATAAAAGGTTCTTTTGGAGTTGACCCAGGAAGAGCTACAGGACTGTGCAAGCTTTTGGTTGATGAAACCGATATATTCCATCTATATTTTGATCATCATTCTGAAACCAATATGCTTTGACTTTTTGATAAAAATGTTGCTTTTTTTATTAAATTTACCCTCATTCAATGTTGAAAAAAAATCATGAAGCCAGATTAATTAGAATTTTTTTAGAGCAGAGGCTCTGTTCTTTGTTTTGATATAGTGCATGATCAGATATTCATATTCATTGCTGGCAACTTATACTGGTGGGAACAGAGTTAATGAGACATTTGCTTTTGTTCGTAATTAATGCATTAAGGCCAAAATATCTCCCAAATACCTTCCACTTTGGTGTATGGCTTCCATTTGTAGTACCATCCCCTGAAGGGTTTACTGTTGTACTCGGCGCACTGCTGAGCTCTGAAGTCCACTCCATTGGGCTGGCATGGATTGGTGTTACACAGCTGGTGCAGTCGACTGGGGCCTTGGCAGAACTTGCCGTTGTGCTGTGGGCTTGGGTGAAACAACCAGCAATTAGCACAAGTGAACATGGAAGCAGAAGGAGAGAAGAGAAGAGAAGAGAAGAGAAGAGAAGAGAAGAGAAGAGAAGAGAAGAGAAGAGAAGAGAAGAGAAGAAACAGATGTGCTTCAGCAAGAATTCAATATTTGTATGGAATGACAGCCATTCAGTTATTTTTTGGAAGAGGTTCTGGTGAGATAGATTTCATATGATGTGCATTAGCATCTGCACTAAGAGAATGCCTTTGTGTGTTATCGGTGAAGTGTCTGACTGAATTACATTCAAACTGACAGCTGTAAAAGATATAAAGTTTTTGGGATGCAATTCCATTCATGACTTGAACTTGCCTTTGTTTTCAACAGCAATGATTTTTGAATAATAAGCTTCAGCAGGAACAAGACCTGCAGATCTACTTATGAGTAAACGTGCTTCCCCATTGAAGTCAAATGGGAAAAGTGGTTGAAAATGTTGTTTTGGATGATGGTAACACTAATGTGCAAAAATTGTACTTTAGGGGTACAAGAGTTTGAGGAAGTACCCTAAAAGCATAACCTCACATCTTTTCTACCCCCCAAGGGTGCATTTTAGTACCTTAGACTAGTACTACAATGTACTATATGAACTTTTTTCTGGTGAACAATATCACTCTGCTGATCAAAAAAAAAAAAAAAGCAAAAAACACCACATTATCATCTGCTTGACCCATTATGAATATGCATTCATTCAACAGTATTCCTTTCAAGCTTTTTTTTTAAACTTTTTTAAACCTGTACTCAAGGCTGTATACCAGGTCAGCTCAGGCTGTGTTGCTGAGGAAGCTGGAGAATGGCGAAGAGAGGCAGCGTCCTCCCAATGCCACAGGAATGCCTCCGAGTGCCACATGAAGCAGACAGTCACCATCTTTCCCTAAGGGAAAAGCAGCCCAGCAGCTTCTGTAACTGAGGCTGTGACAGCGGAGGCATGCTTGCGGCATGGCTGCATGCTTCAGAGTGGAAGACTCTTGGGTACCCTCTTGTAGCCTAACCTCAAAGCAAAGGACTGTGTTCTTTTAGTCTCTGGCCTTTAGCTTTTTATTGCATGTTTACACTTGAGGTTAAGAAACCGCTCACAGAGAGAACAGATAAGTCGTGCTCTTAAAAAACAAAGTACAGTGATCAAACACAGTAAGCATGGGGAAAACGCACACAGTGAGATAAATAAATAACTGTTGATCTCAAAACTGACAACATACTTCTATTGTCTAGACTAGAGCAGCCATTTTCAAACTATGGGTCAACTTCTGGTGAGTTGAAGAGTTGGAATAAGTGGGTCAACTAGAATGGTGCTGCAGTGAAAACAAATATTACCTCTATTTTATATTATTCATGACTCGTTTGAATAGGTGTTTGGTTAAACGCCTGAAATAAGATCTGTGGTAAACAGATTTTTTTGTGCGTTTATGTGACCTTTATGTGAACTTTTAAAAACAATGTTGTGTTTATAGACATTATGTGCTGAGAATCAAGCATGCAGCCATCTTTACAATTTTGTCCTTGAACTTCCATTTATGCGGTAGCTCTGTATATTTATATGGCATAGCTGTCAAAGAGTAAATAGCTAGTTACGTGGATTTACATATTGTAGAGTTTAACAATGTTCTACATTTTTGTTAATTATATGCAGTACCATAGTTTCCCTGTAGGGACCGCTATATGAACTGGGTGACTGAGAAGAAAATAATGAGAGAAGAAGAATGTATATAGCTGATACCATAGACAGAGCGACCCCATTGATTTCAATGGAGAAGACTGAAGCCCGATTTTTGCACTTCCTGTCTGATGTCTGAGCATCTGCGCAGGCTCAGACTGAGCGTGATGACAGTCTGACAGTTGTAAATCTTCTAGTAGCTGTGCCAAGCCAAAACGTTGTTGAAATATTTTGTCCCGTTGCTTTAATGGACTCTCTTCTGCTACAATGGCGGCTCCTGCGAGGCTTCAACTTCCGGCTGATGGATTACCTCCTTGGCTGATACGCATGAGGTGATGATTGCTCCTTTTGAAGTAATAGTAAAATGATTGATTTTCTGACAAAAATAGTTTCAACTTTTCATAAGATTTCTATTTATAAAAAAATCAATTCCCTTTGATTTTATTGAGATTTCTGATTTCTGTGTTAAGAGATTATTGATTGACGATCAGAAACACATGAAAATGAGTATTTTGAGGTGCAATTTATAAATCTGTGCGCTGAACAGATTTATTTGTGCGTAATAGTATGCTCGCGTGTACAATGTTATAATTAATAACATTAAGTTAACAGTTGTATAAACATGTGAGTTTGTTAACTCGTGAGTTTATTGAATGAAAAGCATATTTGAATTTTGAGAGATGTTGACTGTGAATTGTGTTTCGTGTAGATTATTTTATTTTTTGATTTTTGATTTTTTTGTTGCCTGATTCCATTCAGTGAAAAGATCAACTGTGAGCTATGGCGAGCCAGACCGCGAAGGGCCTACTGCATTGGAGAAGGGCCTACTGCATTCTACTGACGTTCAACCTGGACCAGTTTCCATCTGTTTGCATCGTGGGATTCATTTCAATTACAGCTAAGCGGTTACTTGATACACACCAGTGGAGATTTCTTTAAGACTGCAAGGGAAGCTCAACTTCCCCTAATGTCAAAAAATTAATGGTCAAATGAGTACTATTGTGTTAACATTTTATTAACTATCGTTCAGAATCGTTATCGTTCAGAATCAGCTAGCAGGTTGGCTGACTCGATCTCCTTCTCAAACAGTACATTACTGTAGCGTGTCACAGTGCATTTCCCTATGGCATTTTGCTCAGCAAGATAGCCCAGCAACATTGCTTAAAAAGTTGCCCTGTGTATCATCACCTTAAGACAGAACACAACGAGTGCAGCGCTAAAACAGTGTGGGGCTAGATAAGGTTTATATTTGTGCTCTTCAAATTTTGCTTACTAGAACTTTCTAGCTTGTAGATTTTAAATAAAGATCAAAAGATTTTGTTGGAAGCTTAGTGGTGTAAACGTACGACCATGGTGTAATTCATTTCTAGCTTTTTTTACTTCTGGTGATTGTACTTAAAGGAGAACTCCAGCAAAAAATTAACCTTTGGTCTAATAAATCATTGGTACCTAGTCGACTGTTCTCTGAGATTTGTTTTCATAAAAATCGAATGTAAAGAGTTTTATCTCTAAAAACTGTAGTATATGGGGGCATTTAATAAGTAAAAAGAAATCAGTAGTTAATACCACAAACAAGGCTCAAAATTGCCCCACACTAACACAGTAACTTAATGAGGGTCTCTACATGCAAAATTAAGCATTGAGAACTTTGTAAGTGTACAGACCGTTTAATAAGAGGATTTTTTATAAAGTGGTTCGACTTGATGAGACTGTTTTCGAAAGATGGCTGCTGTCTGTATACACGAAGTGGAGTGTCTTTATAAAGTTTCTTCTTATTAAACGGTATAAAACGGTATTATTCGTTTTGCATTTAGGGACCCTCATTATGTTACTGTGTTAGTGTGGTGCTATTTTGAGCCATGTTAGTGGCATTAACTAGTGATTTCTTTTTACTTATTATATGCCCTCATATACTAGCGTTATAATCTAAACCGTTTTTTTTTTTTAGAGATAAAACTCTTTGCATTCGATTATCATGAAAACAAATCTCAGAGAACGGTTGACTAGGTACCAATGTTTTATTAGACCAAATGTTGATTTTGTGCCAGAGTTCTCCTTTAAGCAACAAAATATGTAAGAATCATAAGCTTTTTTTTTTTTGCAATAACCCAAAAGCAATTGGGAAAATAATATTAACTTTGTGTTGAGGGAACCATGCTAACTTCCAGAAAGGAATACTAAAACATGTAGGCTTCAATTACTTTAATAATGTTTTCTTTTTTATTATGTCACTGATATGTTTTTGGTAAGTCTCAAGACTGAAAAATTGTCTAAAAGAGTCAGGAGAATTCATGAGATCAATGATAGTCTAACAGTGCTGTCAGACGGCTGTTTGTGCATGTCTGCTTTTGTTTTTGGAGCAGGTTTTCAGGCTGATCCTATTAGAGCTTTAGCAACAGTGTACTATGGCTCCATATGGTAGAGAACTTATAACAACACACAGAGCAAAGAAAGAGATTGGGAGAAATGAGGCGGAAGAGAACGATAAGTGTAGGTTTTCTGATTAGACATTGAAACAACTGCACCCAAATTAATGTTGTGCTGCATACTAAACTCCACACAAGTGTTGTTGGGAATATTATTCTTCCGTTCTTTCTGTTGACAAGACTTTGTAGCTGTTTTGCAACTGGGGAATGTTAAATCTATGAACAGCAGCACTGGATGCAAACAACGAAACAAGGTCACCCTGTCTGTCTGCTTGCCTGAATCCCCCCAAGCCCCCCCAACTAGACCCACATCCTTCTCTATCCCACTCTCTCAATACATCACCCATAACGAAGACCCCCATCTTTAATCAAATCCTCATTATGCCCACGCTGTTTGCCATTAGGTATCCACTTTAAAGTCAAGTCATTAAAACAGAGCCCTCCACATATAAATAAACAATATCAAACAATGATGTGATGCAATTTAACCGTTTGTTTGTCAGAAGCTTTTTCCCGAAGTCCTGAGGGTGATCATACATGCGTCCTACTCTTTCAACTTTGGCCTCTGGTAATGGTGCATTAATGTTACCCATACCCTGATAGTTACCAATATTTCCAAACAAACTTTAAAAGGAAATCCCATCAACTATCTCCACTAGGCTGTTGTCAAAAGAGATATTTCTCAAACACGACTATCAAAGATGTATGAACCTGTAAATCTGGCTGCGGAGTATGGATACAGTCAAGGGAGTAAATGTATCAGATCATTTTTATTGATAAATGTTATTTGAATGAGATGACATCTCTTGCCGCTGGCTTCAACAGCTGTCTCTTGAGGACCTTATACTGAAGTGATAAGTACGGGGATTCCCCTTGAACCTCACCGCCACAAACAGAAGACATACCAACGCCTAATCTGCTGCAGGTGCTGTCTGAAAGCAGTAAGGGAAGATTATCCATCAAAATGCATCTTTTGAAACACTTAAAGGAAAGTGTTCTCAATCATTTCCGAGTGAAATGATACAGATAAAAAGTTCTGATCAACATGAACTCTGATTCTGATTTCCATAAGGAATGCAGGCAGATGTTTGTGGCATGCACCTCTATTATGTGTAAACAGCTGCTCGATGAGAAGTCAGAGTGAAAAGCTGCAATATCCCCTTATTTTTGTTACCATGAACCATGAAGAGGGTCACACTGATAGCAAAAACGGAGAAAATGGAGGCTAATACCTCCCCAAAATCTCAGATTATAGTGCAAATTCTGCCTTAAAAGCGAACCCATCTAACAGATTCAATTCAACCTAAATGTCTCTTAGTGGATCAGATGCCATTGGACTAATACAGATCAGATCAGAATCAGGAACAAAAAAAGAAAACATTCACACAAAAGGCACTTTAATGTCAGCCCACAAGTAAAATTAATTTAATCAAAAATGGTGGGGTAACAAAAAATAGAAAGGTTTCTATACAGCATCTATATCTGAATTTTAACAAAATAGGGTGGGAAATGCCTAATCTTTTCCAAAAGTAATCATTTTGCAACATCTCTAAATGGTGTGCATTTATGTGAAGGATCTTTAAATCAAAACCAGGATTAGCTAAGCACATTGTGTGAGATCACAATGCGTAATATAGATCATATGTACCCAATCTAATATTTTAATATACTCCTTGGGTATTTGCAGGGTTCTCCACCTCACTTCACATCACTTTGAATAGTTTCTTTCTTGCTGCCTTTACTGGAACTGTTCATGTCAGACATGTTGGTCTGGCTGTCTATGGCATTAAAAGTATTTCCTATTCCAACAGAAATATGTTAAGATGCTCTAGACAGCCAAATGTTGACGAAGCACAATCCCATGTTCCATCAGCTTGACCAAACCACCTGCGGTCTATTGAGACCCAATCTCAAATAAACCTGCCACCACATTCAGAGAGGAAGAACCTGAACCTAAATACATAAAAAACTACATCTTCCATTTGACAGACACTCACATCTTTAACAATCCTGCTTTACATTATATACCTTAAATGCAATGTAACTTGCTCTAGATAAAAGCATATGCCAAATGTATTCATAGTTATTCATTCATATGTTGTTTGTTTGAATGTCTTCTGTTTTCATTCTTTCTGGTCATGCAATCGTTACATATTGAAATTTCCTGTGTCCTCTGTACAAACACTGACCTTGTGCATTCAATAGAGGGCATAGCCTATGGTGAATCCTGCCCACACTTAATCTAAGATTACGCTGAGTGTCAAAGTTCGGGGGATAATCTACGTATGAGTCGCAGTGGGTCAGTTGTTCAGGAAGCACACATGTGCTTCCACCATTCAGAGCTAATCTACCATGGCAGCCTAATTATGAAAAAGTGTCATTCACTTCACTGCAGTGCCCATTTTATTTAACATAAATAACCTGCCATAGCACAGTGTTAGAAAATCTCATTTTGCAATTAAATGTCATGTTTATCTGGATTCGCTCTCTAACACAAACACAAACTGAATTTACCAGACGAAGGCTTCTATGCCGAAACGCGTCGGAGTGTTTTAATAGTGTTGATTATGACCAAGCCATAGAAATAAAGGCTTTTTAACTTTTCTAAAGAGTGTGCCTTGGATGTTCCTGAATCTGTGTGTTGTTGGTTACCTGGGGCTGTTGCAGGATCTCTCTCGGTACATGACACCTCCACCACATGTACGTGAACAGTCGGACCACTCGGACCAGCCCGACCACTGGCCATGTACTGCTCTGGGGCCGTGATCACTAAATTTCACACACTGTCCTCTCCGGCACCACTGCATAATGGGAAAGAAAAGGAAAGACCATCTCACATTCATCAGTAACATATGAAAACCTGTTTCTTCCTCAGATTTAAACATTTTTTTGAACGTTTATTATAAAAAAGTGCTTAAATTTAACAAGGCCACAAACCAAACTGATCTCTTTCATGTCAAAGAGAAGGTATTTGAGCGGATTTGAAGTAAAGTAGGGAGTGTATCTGCTGAGGAGATCTTGAGACTGCTGGTTTGGGATGAAGCCCAGAGTTACACCTGGAGAGCAGGACTCGGCCCAGCCAAGCCACACAGTCCCACACATCAGCACCTCTCACCCTCATCCCCATCAACCAGTGGAAAGACACGCAGAACTAACCGTCCTTATGGAACATTTACACAAAGCAGAGAACAATACCGCAGGTGTGCATGAAGAAAGATGCCGAAAGAGAACGGTCAGTCCATATTCATCCTTAATGGTGGTTCAGTGAGTTCAGAAAGAGAAAGGGTGAACAGACAAGCATTCACTCACCATGTCTGGTCCGCAGATGGTACCCTCGGCAGCAGGCATGAACTTGGTCTCACACCGGTGTCCTGTTCTGTGGCACCATAATGATTTACAGATGTCCTGGTGGGCACAAACACACAGAGAGCACAGTCAAAGACGAGCCTGCACCCGCTGGGAACCCTTCAACCTCTCTGGCTTTCACCTCGCCACGCCGACCTCTTGTTTCTACAGCAACGGCCAATCAACTTTCTCAACAAATAAAAAAGCCTGTCAAAATCAATCACTGTGCTGCCCAAAAGAAACATGCTATTATCATTGCATTTTGTTTCTTCCCACAATACAACGATAATAATGGGTGATGAGGGGTTGGGAGAGCGGCCACTGCTGGATGACGGCCCGATTGCATCTGGCAGGCAGTGAGATAGACGTGGTTTACAAAAGCTCGCTACACTGGACTCTGGATCACCGGGTAGCTAACACCACTAGCTCCCACGGCTAAATACATCTTTACGACTTTGTGACAAGGATGGGATGGCTTGAGGGGACAGAAAACAAAAACATTGGGGTTTTATCTCCACAATCGTTCTTAATTAGGATGTACAGCTGCCTTCCATCAAGGTCGACGTTCAAGACTCTTTTCAGGGCACGTACGAGGTCTTCGAAGAGCACAAAAGCAAAAGGGATCTCTCAAAAAGGAAGTCCATAGCATGAGAGCTAATCCCACAGATAGACTCTCGCAATGTTCATTTCCCAAGCATAACTATTTGCATATCAATGTGTGTGTTAGACGCTAAAAGCTACTGCGGATGCCAAAGGGGGCCCTGTCCATCTTTGTTGAACCTTTGTACATGGACTGTGAATGAAGACTTAAGAGTAGATTGTGAGGCAATTGGTTTCCTCTCAGAAGTTCCTTTTCTTTCCAAAGCTCAGATATGTGTTTGTGTTGACTATTATGTCTCTACACACAAACATTACAGGTTGAAGCACATTTAAATATCCGAGACCCTAAATTAACTTAATCTCTGTAAATTCTAGTGTGGCATTGTGTTTTGTCAAAAGGATTGATTGAAGCTGAATTGTTTAACAAGTCATTTGACATTTCCAACATGAGTTCAAACAAGTTTAGTATAAAAATGTAATCCAACACAGAAATAGAAGCATTTTAGCATATTTTAACTAAATAGCTATGGGTTACCTTTACAAAGTCCAGGCTGCACTGTTTGGCCTTCATGCCAAACTGCCATTTGCACTGTATATCTGCATTGTACAGCTGACCAGGAAGCTGCTCAGGGTATTTGTATTGGCTTATCTGCTTGGGCTCATCCACTAGACATGAAGCCTGAGCTGTACTGTGAATACAAATGCATACAAAGAAACATGAGCATAGAAACAGGCATTTAAAAAAATTATGTGTACAAGTAAAATATGAAATATAAAATTGATAAAAATCTATTGTTAATAAATATTTATATGCATTTTTCATATATATATATATATATATATATACTTTTTATGATAGTTGATAGTGAATATAATGATATGTAAAGTGAAAGTTTACCCTAAAAATCGGTTTAGGTATTGCCGACTACAGGCAGACCATGAGAAAACACCATTATTCCCTGCCAATGTGGGAGACATTATGTTCCCTTCAGTCTTCCGGCAGGGATTCCCCTCTCCGTCGTGGATCATTCCAAAACTGGGGTAAAACAAAAAAAGGACGGAGCAAATGAGGGAGAGATGGAGATTGTGAGTTTTACCCAGTGAGACTATTAATGTACAACCTCAGGACAGAAACCACTCCCTAAGTCAGGTGGGAAATTACCTCTATAACTAAAAGCTTTTTCATCCCACAAACCTCTTAAAAAATCTCTGTATTCTACTGAATATAACAATTCATGTGATTCACACTCACACATTGACATGCTTACTTTCATCAGCCCTGTGAGAATCAGACCAATTAATGCATCAAAATAAACATATGCACTAGTCACGAAATTCAGACATGAACAGTGTTGTACGATATGCCATGTGTATATAAATGACCACTCCCCAATAAATGAGTGATTAATGACTGTTGGCCGGTGAAGATTTTGCCCCAAACACCATGCACGTTGGAGGCGTGTGTCCATTTAATTTGACCAAAATGTTTGAACCACTGAGAATAACAAATCCCACAACATGTTATCAGCTTGGTGGTTCTCCGGGAGAGATTTTGTTCCAGTTTATGTTGAGAATGCGCCAAAGGACTCAAAATACGGCTGTCATAAAAACAAAGTCTCAGACGTACAACATAAACTTCCCCTTATCACAGTGGCAACCAGCAAACACAAAAAAAATGCTTGCCTGTTGCACAGCATATGGTTTCCAAAATTGAAATTATGTGGGACTTGAAAGAATGAATGAACGTACTTATGTCCTGACTCGTGGGCGATGGTGAAGGCGAGGCCCAGTCCTGTGTCTTCATTAATCGTGCAGCTACGATATTTGCTACACATCCCACTTATTGGAGCAAAACCTGCAGAAAGAAAGAAACAGCAAAACATGGGTGGAAGAATATATTTATATGAATGACTGATGCATCTTGGGAACATGAATCAAAATTGATTGTTTACAGAAGAGGTCTGGTTGAAAACCTTGATACATGATTTAAACTCCGGTGCGAAATGAACCTTTGGTCTAATAACACATTGTTACAGTACCTTGTCAACCGTTCTCTGAGATTTGTTTTCATGATAATCAAATATAAAGAGTTTTATCTCTAAAAACTGTTTAGCTTATAACGCTACTTTATAGGGCATAGAGTAATGAAAAATAAAAATCGCTAGTTAATACCACTAACAAGTGTACAGACAGTTTAAAAAAAAAGATATTTTATAAAGACAGTCCACTTCACGTATACAGGCAGAGTCGATCGGAATTACGTTTGTGAAATCTAATTACATGGAAATGCATGAATTATATTTTTTTAAGTCTGCACTGTCTGGGGAAAAGGAGGGCAGGAGGTTTTTTGGTCATTCATGCAGATCAATGAGCAAGACTTACAGCTGGCGAGGCAAACTAAAATCACGCAATAGTTGCTCTATATATAAAAAATAATTGCACCGATTTAAAACATAACTTGTCTAGTGTACTTACTAAGTGGATAACTGTCCATCTGGTCCCACCGCTATGGGTCGCTGCCTCAAATTTATTTTCGGGACATGGAAAAACGTTGCAAGTACAGCCAGGCTCATCAGACTGGAAAAATCTTCAGACGGCATTGACCACCGGCAGCTCTCTCTCCCTCGTAGCCCTTTCACGGAGCTCCTGCAGCTCTTCATCAGTATATTCTAGCTCGAAAAGATAAGACCGTCCCGTCCATCAAACATAAACGATTCGTCGGGTTGAATAATCCGCCACCTTTTTAGTGTGTATCTTGTGGAAGCACCCTTTTTAAAATTTTTATTTATTTATTATTTTCTCTGTTGCGTTCACTGCTTCTCTTAAGAGCTCAGTGCTTTCTTCCGAAAACAAGAACCATTTGAGATTATAAGTCACAGTTCAGCTCACTTGGCATGGCGTTCGTGGTTCGACTGGTCGAGACTGTTTTTCAAAGATGGCTCCTGTCTGTAACACTTACAAAGTTCTCAATGCTTCTGTTTGCATGTGGGGACCCTCATTATAATACTGTGTTAGTGTGGGGCTATTTTGAGCCTTGTTAGTGGTATTAACTAGCGAATCTTATTTTTCAATACTCTATGCACTATATACTAGCGTTATAACTTAAGCTAAACAGTTTTTAAAGATAAAACTCTTTATATTCGATTATCATGAAAACAAATCTCAGAGAACGGTTGACTAGGTACCAATGTGTTATTAGACCAATGGTTCATTTTTCGCCAGAGTTGTCCTTAAAGTATCACTAAACACACCACAATATATTCAAAACTATAGAATTTGAAACAAGATCCCATTACACATAAACACACTTTCAGACTATTTATCTGACTGCATGATCTAAGAAAAAGCATTGGTTTGAGTTTCACATCATACAAAGGCAATTTTAAAAGCAGTCCTCTCCCCTTTGCCATACATTTGCAGTGCATACTTGTGGTTTGGAGCATCAGAGCTACATTTGGCTGATGCCTCTGTAGCAAAAAACTCTTTCTTGGAGTCAATCAGGTGAAGTTCTCTGCCTGAGGGCAGACTAGGACACATATCACCAACCACAAGCTCTTTATAACCTTGGCATTGTGTAATTCAGCCTCCTGCAACTCGATTAGCCTCTGACATCACAACACATGACCCATTTCTGCTGCTGGATGGTGAACGTCAAGTGCCTTACCCAAGGTGTCACACGGTTCATTCTTCCATGAGCAGATGTCCAGCCCGGTCAACAGTATTGCATGGTCGTGCCGCTTGCCATTTTTACCTATCAGGCCTGATTGCCACTGGCAGAAGCTGTTGAGGGATTGGTCTGCGTGGTGGTTGATAGACAGGCCCAGCTGACAGCAGTGAAACCGAGAGAGATGAAGTGTTCAGAGGGGTGGTGAGAGAGAGATGAGAGAGTAATGAATGATCAGACATCTGTCATGTATGAAAGAAATGGAAAAAAAGACTAGGATTCTTAAAAGAAGAGATAATACACATCAAATTTACCTAGAGAGAAAATTAGATAAAGTGACTGTGTTTCCTAAACTATTTAGCACAAAAGCAAATTAAATAATATTTGTATCCATTATTTGTAATAATGCTAAGAAATGCACAAATAACTTTTGTAAGCATTTTCAGTGAAAAAAAACATACAAATAACTTTTAAACACTAAAACAACTTTGTTTAGTTAATGATCTGTAATACTGGGGCTTTATTAATGCTGTTCATTGATTCAAGTAATTGTTTTGACATTTGGGTCTAAAGTGTTTTAATTCTACAATATGTTTAGTTGAATTTTCTTATTGAAAGTTGTGGTACTCTGTTATGTCAGAGAATACCAGCTAACCACTACCAGCTTGCCTACAGAGAGATGCGTCTCAGGTGCACGCCTGATGACTTTGATCAGATCAATCTTTGCAGTGAATAAAAAACACAGTGACCAGTTATTGTGATTGTCAAACAAATTACGTTTTAGAGAATAAAAACAAGCAGCTTGACTAAAAAGACAGAAAACTGATTAAAAACTCTTAAGAGTCAGTTCCTTTTAGTAATACATGTATACATGTGTGTATCTTACCGGATCTTTCTCAAGTAGGAGGAGACTGACCACAACAATGTTGATGTCATTTCCAATTGTTCCATCTTTGAAAAGACTGGAGACCTTTTTGGCACAACAACACTTTGCATATTACTATAGGAAGAAGTAAATGTTCACTGAACATGCAATATCAAAGTGTTTTTTCAATAACAATACGCTGACAGCTCACTCACCATGTTCATGACAGTAAGAACATAAGTAGTGACGTTGTCTCTTCCATGTTTATCTAGCATCTTCCTGTCTGCCACCACCAGAGTTTCCACGTTCAGGCCACCCTCTTTGCTCGATGTAATCTCAGAGCGTTTCACCCGGCTTTGCTGCTCAAACTCATCAGGCATGAAAAAATTATCCTCTTTCGGAGGCTTGGGAGTATCTGTAGTTAGGGTGGAGAGATAGAAGTATGGAAACTCATGAAAAAGAGTGAGAGAAACTGGAAATTGCCTCAGATAACTGATTTTCCTGTTTCCAAGCTTGGAGCCAGAGAGGCGACAACAGACCAGGAAATGCACAGTCATTAACTTCACATGCTGTTTCCAAGCTTTTACTCAATTCCATACAACAGATGATAATAATGACACAGTAGTTCTCTTACAAGAGTACTCTCGTGTTGCGTAAGCTAGCTTCCCGAGAATACTGAAGCCAAAAATTATCATTATAATTTGTATTCATTTAAAATGCATTTGCTGCAGCAAGCAGACCTAGGTGAGGCAGCTCTGCGGCAAATGCTGCCACCTATCGAGGGACGCAAGCACCAATTCACGTCCCGTGCGAATGGGTGTGGCTGATGCCTATATAAGCCAGAGCTCAATAGTATGCTTGATTTTCAAGCCTTCGCATCGCTGGGTCTAGGAGAAGAAGCCTGCGCCATTAATCAGCCTTTTCAGCGAGACGAGGTCTCTGAGGAAGCCGGACGTCTTCTCACCACTTTCAGTCGCCGTTCCTGTTCCTATCCAGCGCCCATATCCTTTCTTATGCTCGGTGTGTGTTTGCCGGCATGACCTTTCCTGATTCTAGGAAGATCCGTGGCTATGGTGACTGGAGATGTGTATTCTACAGCCAACGAGCCAGTTGCACAAACCGCTCGTCTGTACCCAATCACAATTTTCACGGCAACCCAGATAAATCTCAAAAAGAGAATTATGTCTGTTTATCCGGCTCTCGCCAATGGTGTTTTAAATGTAGGAAATGTGCCCACGTCACGTGTTCATGCAGTCTGAGATCACGGAAACCTTCATGCACTGGCATAACGCCTCCTTGTATGGGTTCAGCGCAACCTTCTCTATCTGAACGTGGGTCCAGGCTGTCTAGAGACAACGTTCTTCCAGGGGAATGGTATCTCCACCCTCAGACAGTTCATCTGTTGTGGGACACCTTTAACACAGCGGAAGTCGACCTCTTAGTGTCTCAAGACAACACTTAGTGTCCAATTTGTTTCAAAAAACAAGGACGCGCTTGCCCATCACCTAGCCGCCCTCTCTATGCTTTCCCGCCGATCATGCTCTTACCACAGGTAATCAAGTGTATCAGGAAGAACGATTCCTCTGTGCTTCTAGTAGCTCCGTTCTGGCTGAACCAAGTTTGGTTTCGCTGATGCAGCTTCAGAGCTTGGCTCCATGGCCTGTCCCATTCAGGAGAGATCTCCTCTCACAGGCCGGGGGTACGATTTGGCACCCACAACCCGAGCCCAAGGCTCTGCATCAACGGGTACCCATCAGTCTCCCCGACGGGGTGTTAAACAAGATGTATGCAAGCTCCTAGATGGCTTTATGCTTCCAAGTGGTCAGTGTTCTCAAGTTGGTGCTCAGCTTGCAACATGGATCCACAAGATTGTGGGGTATCGGGGGTTCTCTCCTTCCTACAGGAACTCTTGGATAAGGGTAGATCCCCATCCATGCTCAAGGTATACAGTATGTAGCGGATATTGCTGCGTTTGTCAAACATTCACACGCCCAGTCACTGGGTAGGAACGACCTTGTAGTCCGCTTCCTCAGAGGAGCTAGTAGGATGAACTGTCCTTGTCCCCCCTCGGTTCCCATATGGGACCTTTCCCTGGTCCTGGAGGCCATGAAGGGTGCCCCTTTTGAACCCCTAGAGTCTGAGGACTTAAGTATTTCTCATTGAAAACAGCCTTTTTGGTTGCTACAGCTTCAGTCAAGCGGATGGGTGACTTACACGCACTTTCTGTTAGCGTGTCATGGCTTGAGTTTGGGCCTAATGATTCCAAGGTCATCCTCAAACCAAGACATGTTTATTTCCCCTAAGCACTTGTCACTCCTTTCAGAGCGCAACTCAACTCCCTGTCAGCCCTCTGTGCATCTGACAGCGAGTCTGACATGAATCTCCTTTGCCCAGTTAGGGCTCTGAGAATTTACATGGAACGTTTGGCTGCTTTCAGAAACAGAACAGCTCTTTGTTTTTGTTTTTTTTTTTTGTTTTTTTGTTTTTTGGTGGCCGGCTAAAGGTCTAGATGATCGAAAAACATAGCCTTTCCAGGTGGATAGTGGACGCTATCTCACTGGCTTATACATCTAAGAGCCTTCGTTGCCCTCTGGGCGTCAGAGCTCACTAGAGGTGTGGCCTCTTCATGGGCCTGGTCCAGTGGGATTTCACGATATCTGTATGGCGAAAGGCTGGGCCTCTCCGTCTACATTAATATGGTTCTGTAACCTGGAAGTACCCGCTCTCCAAGCTAGACTGTTAACAGTTTAGTTAATCCACTCAGTTCTGCCGGACTTGCATCCACGCACTGCAAATTTTTCAATTCAGACAGGCTATTGCCTCCGTGTTAAGCACCCTCTATTCACTTAAGGTAGCCACGTTTGCCTTATATCATTCTTATTAAGCCGATTCCCTGTCGGCTTTTTATATCCACATATCATATGAGCTCAGAGCGCTCGCCCTAGGGTCAATGTTGTGGTAGATTTAGCACGCACAGCGTTTTAAATTGGGTTCCCGTAGCGTAAGCTAGCTTACACAACACGAGAGTACTCTCGTAAGAGAACGTCTCAGTTATTAAGGCATAAGTCACGCCCATTCGCGCAGGACATGACAACTGAGCCCTCATTTATGCTTACGTCACAAGCAGTCCCTCGATAGGTTGCAGCAGTTGCCGCAGAGCAGCCAATAGGCTGCCTCGCCTAGGTCTGTTTGCTGCAGCAAATGTGTTTTAAATTAATACAAATTATTCCTTCAGTATTTTCAAGAAAAGGCTCCCATAGGTCTTCTAGAGTGAACCAAGGTTAGTAACAAGAGACTTTAGTAACACGAGACATTTTGCTTTTGGAATCAATCTACATATCTTAGAGGGCTTTGCTGTTATTCGCATTCTGAAGACTTCTACAAGTAAATAATATGTGATGCACTGTCCATCTACAAATAGCTCAAAGGAAATTCCCTTACATACATTGCTTGCGGCGTCCGCAGAAATGTTGTCTCTGGAGCTTTCCGTGCTGGTAATCATGGTGACGGTGATGGTGGTGGTCCTCATAGGAGTTTTTTGATTTAAAGCCACTGGTCCAGTCAGTCTTCTCAGCATGGACTCTGTGCTCAGCTGATCTCTTGTAGATAACATGTGGGTGATGTCCAGAGGGGGCGCTGTAGTTGTGTTGTAAAGCCAAATGCTGCGGGAGCGGAGTGATAAGAAGTTCCTCGCCAGAGAACCTGATCAGACCTGACTGCAGAGAACAGAGGAAGAGGAAGCTATGAGTAGCTAACCATATAATAACAAACAGTGAGTTTGGACTCCATGGCCAATTTAAAAAAAAACTTAAATAAAATATAAATAAATATATAGTGTATATACAGCTACTGTTTAAAAGTTTGGGGTCAGTAAGATTTTTTTATGTTTTATTTAAGTCTATAATGTTCACCAAAGCTGCATTTAAAAATACACTAATGTGTTACATGATCCATCAGAAATGATTCTAATATGCTGCGTGGCAAGCAGGGCGGAGCTGAGAGCAGTGAGAGAAAATCTTGGGAATTTTCGAGATTTTCTAAATACTACATTAACAGTTGAAGTGTTTTAAAGATTAATTTTAAATGAGCACTGGATGATGGCAAAGGTAACTTAAATGTAAAAATATGGGCAATGAGCATGAACAAATAAATATCTGATTTTGTCCAATATATATATATATATATATATATATATATATATATATTCTACAATATTTTTTTCTAATATAGGTTACTATATCAAATGATATATTTGCATAATTTCCAAGCTGAGCTCTATCAACAGCATCTGTTTTGCTCCATAAAATAATTGCCCAAAAGATTTCCATTGTAATCATATGTTTACACAACTGTCATCATGTTTATTGTTTTGTTTTGACAAACGAGGGGCTGATTTGAGCTTGTTCTCAGTGGTAATCAACAGCATGCAACAGATGCTGTCAGCGAAGGTCAACTTCTAGTTAACCAGGAATATTCCTAAAAGGACACATTAGCCTTAAGATAACCCTGAAGACCAAGTTAAAATCAGAGCACACAGATGTGGGACTGAAAATATATCAAATCAAAGACATGGAGGTATTTATGTGAGTTTGATGTCAGGGAAAGAAAAGCCCTAAAGGAGACCATCGACTTTAACATTCCAGGTTGTGAGGGATTCATAGTCCCTTCAGCTGAAACAGTGGTTAAAAAACAGCTGTTGCAGAGTCACAAAAAACTATGGCATCTCCATAGTTACAGCTGTCAGTACACAATAAACAAACGATGACATGGCGGGATGTAAAGCAGCCCGGGGCTTCTGAAGGCATCTTAAAGAGCTACTCATTTATCAAATGTTTCAGTAGGCTACAGAGAGCAGAGGAAAGTTCATACGCAGCATAACTTTTCAGCAGCTTGTTTTACAGTGACGATTAGCATGGCCACAAGCCAGGCATGACAGGTATGATAAACTATAGTATCTACATCCTCTCTCAACTACACTCAGCCCTTGAAAATCTCTAATTAGCTCAATTTCTCCAAGGAAATGGAAACCTGAGAAGTTAAAGTGCGGAAACCTAGGGCCTACTGTACAGTACCATGCTGTGTGGTTAATATTAAAGTCACAGTTGACAAATTGACATTTAATTTATTATAAATTACTCTTTTTTTTTTTTAATTCATGTGCCCTTGTAATTTTTAATCAAAGTAACGTTCCCAACCTTCTGCAGAAACATCTTTGGCTATGTCCGAAATCGACCCATATTCCCTTAAATAGGGCACTATTTGAGGGGACATCCATTTGTAGTAGTCTCCAAAACCATAGTGGATGTTATTGAAATGAAATCACTCACTCACTCCCATAATGCACTACAATAATGAATGAATTAATTGACATCAGTGAATTCCTTTTTAATTGATTATTAAATTGTTTACTTGAGGTTTAACTAAGTTTCAAATGATTATTGACCAACAAGTACAAACTATGCAAATACAGCAGCCTTTCTGGGACACTAAGTGTTGCTTGGTGGAGTTTTATGTATCTTTTAGAGCTGAATTAGATGGCATGTCAGAGGTAGGTGGAGGAGGTCCGAGCAGTTGATTAATGAGGTGTGGGGTCAAAAGCAAGCACAAAGCTTATCGTCTCTGCTATGATAGTGACACGCATTGGTGCCCTGGGACACATCCACAGCAAGCCAACACATGCTCATATTTAGCCATTACTAATAAAACATGCCAAAGTTTAATTGCTTCATTATAAGTCATACACATGTGTCTTCAGATTTATTTGGTTTGGGTCAGTGTTTCTAGCAAAATAAAGCAATATTTCAGAATGAGGCACTTTTCAGAACTGTACTGCAAATGGGAAAAGCAATATATGTCAGCTTCATTAAACCAACAAGTGAAATACACATCTAGGCCTAATCCTTTCTTTAGCTTAACATGATGAATAATTTCATTGTACTTAGTAGGACAATGTGATTTCCACAATGTGGAAAATGCGGAGGGAATCACATCATAAAAATAAAATTTCATGAGAATAAATCAAAAGTAAGGCCGTAGGCAAATCATGATATGAACTATAGTGTCTGTGAATATTAAACCACAAACGTCTGCTATTTAAATGCGAGTTCTGCATACTCTGCGCTTTACTGTATGAATCTACTACACAAACTAAAGCATGCATGACACTCATGCGTTTTCAGTGTCTAAATGAGGAAATGCCACATATACTTTATCTCCAGAGCTGTTTTAGCTGTTAACGTTTAATTTGATAAAACTGTTACCAGATATGCACAGTGTGTGTGTGTGTGTGTGTGTGTCCGTGTGTGTGTGTGTTTTAAACAGTCAGTACTCAGTGACTGACAGCGACTGACTTTCAGCAGGTTACATTGTTCCGCAAGTAGGTGGCAACAAAGGACTTAATGAGTAATAATTCAATTATTCATTTAAAGCTGCAGTCCGGAGTTTTTTCTCTTTGCCCTTTCGATATGTATCCTTGTTTTCGCATGGTCTGGTTGCAGTCCCTGTCTTTCTGTAGCCACTCCGAAGTCCAAACAAAGTATTTTGTATTTTACAGCGGGTGAATCTCTGGTTGTCATTGGGGGATTATAAAGGCTATAGAGTGCCGAAGTGATGACGCCACTTTGTAGGACAACTCGGAAGCTAGCGGCGCATGGGTTCCCTCAGTCGAAAAGCAATGCATTTTCCCCATAGACTTTTGGAAAATCGCAAAAAATAAGATCTGTGTTCAACAGAGTTGAGACCCTTACATGTTTTGTCTAGCAAGATAATCTTTACAAGTTAATCCAAAATTCATACATTTTGAAGCCTATATAAAGATTTTAAAAAACACAATCAGACACAATAAAGTAAAAAAAAAAACACACAAGTAGGTTATAACTGTGTGTTCTATGTCATAGATCAAAACGTGAAAATATTTAGAGGCTTTGTTCACCACGGACCTTAATTCAGGCGATTTAGCAAAAACCCATTCAAAAATCCCATAGGCTTTAGAGCGAGGGAACCGTAGTGCTAAAATGCTAAATCACTTTCGCGTTTTGGCCAACAGAGTGACGTCATAACTTCGGCACTCTATATAGAAAAGGCTATAAATCTCCACCTCCAACATCCTCACACGCAATATAGCCTACTAGCCGAGCCTCCTTCTTTAGATGTAACGTGATGAAGACATGCTCGAATCTCCCGCGGAAATCCACCAGTACCACTGGAATTAAAAACAAAATTACAAGCTTACCGCTTTGAGTCTATGGTAAGCAGAGAGTTTTGAACACTGGCTATGTATTATCTCAAATATGTATTTTTTGGATCATTTTTAACCCCAGAAAAACTAGGGACAGCAGCTTTAAATTAGTGGTTCTCAACCAGGGGCAGCGAGATAACTTAAAATTACTTTAAATATTTTAATATAATTCATAAATGTTATTATTAATACATATATATTTTTTTCTTTTTTAAATTAACAAAGCAAACCGTGTATGTGCACTCTCGGGCTCACTGATCGCTATAACATCGTATTTCTGTTTAATATATTCACGTAGTTGTCAAAATGAATGTACTGTGAGTGTTTTATAATGGATGCTCGCCGAAGAAGCATGTTTTGGAGATTTTTGTGAAGATACACACAATTGCTTGTTCTGAAAGAGGAACTGTTCACTGATGATATCGACTCACCCTTAAGATCACTGAGTTTCCACAAATTCATTTTATTTTTGATTTGTGTTTTGGTGTTTAATAATTCTGAATGTATCCATATAGTAGCTATAAGTAGTCCTTTGGCATCTCCATGTGGTCTTGTTTGTTATGGCAGGTTGCCTTGTGCTTATTTGTTACTGTATAACTAAGAAAAGAAAGTAATTTTAAGTTGTAAAGAATGAAATCTATCTTGAAGTTATGTTGTTATAAAACAATAATAACATGGAGTTGAAAATAACACTAGAATACAAATGTTTTTGAGAATAAAAAAGTATTGTTTCAGAGAGGAGGGGAGAGGAGGGGAGTAAAAAAGTTGAGAAATGCTTATTTAAACAATCCATTCAGAAATGAGGATTCATTCAGGGACAACACCACTGTGCATAAAGGCAATGTGAGTTACTAAATATTATCATTTTCTGTTGTATAAAAATGTCGCAATCATGCTGTTTGTCCTAATATGAATAATATGCTTAATTTGATAGGTTACAGAATGCTTATTTTGTATAGACTTGTGTTCTTTAGGTTAACACACAATAAATGTTGGTTGACATGTGATTTATTTATTATCAGTGAAAGCTTTACTGCTATTGCAGACCGGCTAGATTGGACTAAATGATAAAATAGGTGTATCTCTATTAATTTATTGAATCGTGTCTATTTCCTGTTCAATATCTGCAAACATACTCTGTATATGGTCATGTAAAATATGACCACAAAGTTATCCCCTGCCAGGTCTGGCTTTGCTAAGTGGGAAGTGTTACAGTTGTAAAATTGATCATAGTACTCCAGTCATCAGTGCCAGGACCATATACTGTCTGGCAGAGCCATTATTCCCAAAGAGACAAACTTCTGAAAAGGCAGCTTTCTCATTCTTTCTCTCTCATTCAGAAGTTTGTCTCTTGGGGCTCTCTCTCTCTCTCTCTCTCTCTCTCTCTCTCTCTCTCTCTCTCTCTCTCTCCTCTCTCTCTTCTCTCTCTCTCTCTCTCTCTCTCTCTCTCTCTCTCTCCTCTCTCTCAATTCAATTCAA